ATGCCGCCTAATATTGCGCGTCAAATAAATATCCACTTAGATTGGTGAGAAAGTTATGCGAGGAAGAGAATTATATCACTCGACGATGGAACGCCAAAGCGTTTGATTTTATCGTTTGAGTCCGGATTTTTTTTTAAAGTCGTTATTATTTTTCATGATTTGTTTACGTTATCGGAAATAGTGAAGATTGGTAGCATGTAGCAGTTATAGTTTAATTTGGATTGAAATTCGGACGAAATAGCTTGCGGGTGTAGTCTTCAAAGCCGGCAAATTTTTTCAATTTGAAAGATGAATCTGTACTTAAACTGCGATCTGGCAGTTTTTGATGAGTTAATCACCGATTTGTTCGTGCTGTGTTTTGTCTGAGAGATTTGTAAAAGATTTGTAAGAAGGCGTTTTAAACCATTTGAGAGGTTCACATGGTTTTAAGAAGAAATTGAGTGGCCGAGTTTTGAAGATTGCAGTTAATTGTCATCCAGGATAATCCGAAACCCGAACCAGTGTCCAACTTCCAAATAATTGTCTATTTGTGTTCCCTGGTCACGTCAGACAAATTTGCAGCTTGTGTAGGATACAATTGTGTTTGTTTGCAGTGTTTTGGTCCAATTTTAATCCCAAAAACTTCTTGAAGGAAATACAGAGTGATATAAGGAAAGAAAACCCTTTCTTATTAAAGCTAGCAAAAGGATTCTTTTAAAAGGCGTCCATTTTAAAGAGTTTAAGAACCTTCTTGTATGAGTTGCCCAAAAAAATCTATGTAAGTATTTTTTTAATTTCTTCCTTTGTAGTTACCCTTTCCAGTCCCTACTTTATTCACTTACTTACGACCCAGCTCTTCAACTAAACCAAGAGTGGCCGTTCGCAAACGATTCAGTGTGTTTTCTTACCATATCTTCAGTCCAGTTATTGCTCAGTCCCCACTTTAAACACCTTTAAGTGATACCCAATGTGGTAGGCAAATTATACCGCTACAGTGTGTTAATTTTCTATACACCTGAATCTCATATTTAGTATCGTTCGTTGATATTAAATCTTCCAGGAAAGGCAGTGTGTTATTATATTTCTTTTCCATTGTAAATGTTATTGTCTCTTCTTAACCGTTTATATCATTCAGTAATGTGTCCAACAACGAACAGTAATGAGGCCATATTCAGAATACATCATCTACATAATATTTGTTTCAAAATCTTCCATAAATATATCGGCTTATAATGGAGATAAACTAGAGCTCACTACTAAACCAAAATTTTGTTTAAATATAATTCATTATTTAGTCATATTATACATAACGTCAATAATTACATTATAGCTGATATATTTAGTCTTGTTCTAGTGGCCAATGTATCATTATCTAATTTTGTTTTGATTATATTTAAAGTCTTGTTTAATGCCACATTTGACAAAACTTACTAAAATATTATTTAAATTAAATTAAATATTTGATCATTTATTTAAAAAATGTTGTGTATTTTTTATAAATGTGTCATTTTTAGTGGCAAATAGTTGTAATAATATTTGATAAAAAGTTTGACCGTTCACTGCAAGGAAAATTCATGGTACTGCAAATAGGTACTGCAAATAAGTGGTGTATTCGTTTTATGAACTTTCGGTACTCCATAAAAATGAGGTATCCCACTGTAACGAGGTGTAATTAATCTTCTTTGATAATTTGTCAAATAATGTTTAAACTTGAATAAAGCTCTCTTTATTCTGTTTTTCAAAGGCTTAGTTGGATCCTTCGTTAATTTTGTATAAGGTCCGTTTGTAATTAGGTCTTTAATTTTGTTTTAAAATTGAATTTTATCTATTATTACAGTTGCATTCCCCTTGTCTGCTGAAAGGATAATTATGGAGTCGTCATTTTTTCAAGTCAAGTTCGTATAGCCTTTAGTTCCTTTTTGCTTATGTTTTGTTTAATTTTAATAAACTTTTAATAGAAGGGAGTTTTTACATTTGAAGGAAAGAGGCCAGGAATTTGAAGTTGCAAGTTTTTTTTTTTAATTTCTTCAGCCTCTTTCGTAGAATCATGCATTTGATAGGAACGTTTAATAAATATATTTTAATGACATATATTATTTCCATTTAAAAGTAAAATTTCTAATTTATGTTAATACGCTAAATAAAAAATGGACAAAAAAGATTATACAAAAATAAAAATGTGGATCGTACGCATAAAAAAATATAACAAAGATATAAGCAGCTGTTGAGTGATAGTAGACCGATAAATGCTCAAAATAGGAGGACTACAAAGAAATTATGACAGCTTTAAAATAAACAAAAAAAGAGCTTGCAGTCATTAAACTATCAAAGAGTAGTAATACTTTTGTTGATATTGTATTGAAAGATAGTATTAAAGATCAAAGGCAAACTAAACACGTTGAAGAAACTAATTTAAGAATAGTTCGAAGATGCAGGAGACAATAAGAAATCTTGAATAATTACCAATTACACGTCCAAATACTGCATTTAGTTATTGTCATGTTTGTTTCAATTCTTAAATATTCTTTACTCGTAAAACTATGTAATCAAGTGTTTTCCATCGATAGTTAGAAATTTTGTGTGCGATTTCAGTTCCTTAAAAATATCTTGGGGATAATTTCTCCTTCTTTCACTCCCCTTTCTAGTTATGTGAGGCTGGTATTTTAATATTTTTTTCCAGTTCCATTTCCGTGGTGGCATTTTCGTATAAGTTTTTAATAATTTTTAATTTGAATCGATTTTTGCGTTTTTTCTAACATTGCTAATAATCAAATTTACTCGAATATTTTCTAAAAATCAACAAAAGCCATATAGTATAGGCCGATACATTATAGGTACTCGTTTCACTTTTCTTTTAACATTCTTATGAGGAAGTCAATACTCCTCTTATCGAATTAGAAACTTTCTGCAGTATATAAAAAAGGGCCTAATGGAAGATACCTAAAAATAAAAAAGGAATTTAGTATACTCTTCTTATGTCCACTTCTACTACTACTACTTCTTATCATCTCTGTAAAATAAACAAAAACTGGACAGAGCAACATACACATTCTATAAAAGCAAGCTGCAGAACAAATGTTCGCCAATGCAGTAAATATCTAAAACAGGTCATTTTAGAAATTCACTAGCTAAACAACTAATAATAAACTTTCTCCAAATGAGACAACTCAGTACTTAATAAGTCCATTGCTTCTACACCTGTAGATTATGTGGGCGGCAAAAAATTAGTTAATTTTTTTTTAAATGTGTAATATGGTTCCAAAACATTCTTAATTAACACTAACTGAACTTGGGCCATCATCCTCAATAAAATAAGACGCAATAATCCCATGTCGATATATCTCAATCTCTAGCTACCTATAGATCTGAACATTAGATGTGAGAGGTTTCTCTGACATTCAGTTTATATCTCGTTCATTGTAAGCTTCTTTAGGGACTAAGACCTAGTTAAGATCACGTAATTAATTATATTCTTCAGCGACTAGAAAAGGTTTTGCGTTGACACAACATACTACTAGAATGACAAACTTGTTCTACAATTTCTCACGTTATAGTTTTGGACCCAAACTTTTGTCGTTTAGACGGTCATAATAGACCGTCGTGAGACACATAAGTCGTACCCTACTGATGACTTATCGTTGCGAAAGTAATCCTGCTCATTACGAGGGGAACTAGAGGCTCGGACATTTGGTTGACGCATTTACTCAAGCGGGTAATGATGCGAAGCTACTATCCGTGGGATTGTACCTGAACGCCGCTAAGAGCGTATCCTTTCTAGTCAAAGCTCGCAACGATATCTCTTGGAGCTCCGAAAGTCGAAAGGCTTAAAACAATATGACTTTACTAGGCAATCGTATTTCGCTACTATTGTCGCACGAGCCCTTAGTTCCGATGAGATTGTTGGTTTACTGTGGGATCGATCCTTGCCAGTAGGTCTACTGGACTAGTAGATCTTTAGACGGACGAAGATGGGTATTACAAACTTTTCGATGTGTGAGCTCGGAATCGTCTACATTTTCAGAATTTTCCATGCGATTTTAATATTAGAGGTAGAATGGAGCTAGAGCTAAGCCTACTACAGATACAATACTATGAAGATATACTAATTTGGTAAATAGTATTAGATATACTATTCTATATATTATACTATACCGAATGCTTCTGGATCGTCTGGATTACAGATGGGTTCAGGGCGGACAAATGGATAGGCAATGCTATACCTCGATCTTCTTCTGTGTCCACTATTAATTGATAGGGCTTGCCGTTACACGATATCTGCTTATACAATCAGGCAGTTATCCTGGAATCACCCAGAGTTACTTCTAAGCTAGTTATGGAGTGAAAAAGAACCGTAGCTACAGCTGCGTTGACTAACAAGGTGAACTTGATACGCGTACCCGAAAATTTAGGTATAGAGGGAAACAAAAGGACCGATGTTGTTGCAATACGAGACTCATCCACACTGGCTCTACAACCTGAACCTGTGATTATAGTTCCGGAGTACTGGCCGGGGCAGACTCAAGGAGTTTCTCTCGCACAGGTTCTAGGACTTTTTTGACCTGGACCTGTCCAAGAGGTATTAGCATTTAAAGGGTTCAAAAATGTGTCCTGTCCCTAGTCCACCATCATCACACTGAAAATAAAAGATACCGAATCAAATTAGCAAGCTAGTAACTCAATTCGGTATATAAAAAAACTATTTTATCTCTCTGAGAGGGAAATAGAAACGTCAAATTAAATGTATTTTCAATTGATATTGTGATTTATTCTTATTAAATAAAGTAGATAACATGGAAATTCCATAAAACAATAGTTTAGTTAAGAACCAAATTTTATGACGTAAAAATATTACATCTAGATATATTTAATCTCTTAATAAGAAAATACAATACTTTATTTAATAACGCTTAGGATAACATGTTACTTTTTAAAATAACTATGCCAACTCTTGTACAAACGGCAAAAATTTCTAGTGGGGATTTTAAAAATAATATAAAACATCTTTTTCGCGTTGTCAAAATGGCAAATCAAGAGAAACAAACAAATTCCTTAAAGTGTGAAGTAAACATGGTGATCTTGTGCATTTTAAGTGTCTTCTTCCTTTGTACGACTGATGCACTTCCCAGCAAAAGAGGTAAAGTTTTTGAATAAATAAAAAATAATCTTAAACTAATAATTTAAATAGTTCAATAGTTCAATTTTGTTTTTTATATATTTTTAATTTTTTAAAGATTTTAAAGAAATGTTACATTACAAGTAGGTAACTGTAATTGTTGTAATTTTTTTGTTAACATATTTTTTAATCCTACTTTTGTAAACTGGAATGGGAATAATTTGTTTTGAAGTATACATAGATTCATACCATTTGATGATGGAAATATGATGAAAACCTATGAATAACGCTCAATTCTAATTTAACCAGATTTATGTTATGTAAATATTTGACTTTTAAAGAACAGCTTTTTCCATATCAAGAAAAAACTTTTTTTCTTCATTATTGTTGTTATTGGGTAAATGGCCTGTTCAATTTTCGATACCTTCTAAACATTCATACAGCGTTTTTTAGGTCTTCCAATGCTTCTTCGACCACCTAGTGGCGATTTGTCTCGAGATATACTTACTGTTCTGTCTGCACCAATCAATCAATATGGTTATTCCATTCTACTCTTCTTTTTTGTACCCATAGACTAACTAGAACTACTTTGCACACTCTTCACTTCTTTCATCTATTGTATAAAGTTTTGCCGATTATCCGGCAGTTCAATTCTTTTCATCAAGTATTTTCAACTCTTTTGTTTCCATTATTTATTTGTTCTACAGTGGAACCTCGATTATCCGTTAAGGAACCGGACCAAGGGTATGACGGATAATCGAAAAGACGGTTAACAGAACCTTAAAAAAAAAGAAAGAGTGATTTAGGATAGTATAGTCGAATCAATTTGATTTAAAATATTCCTAAATCTTTGTTTGTTTTATTGTTACTTCACATTTGGCCACGGCTGCGTGGCCAAATGTGAAGTAACAATCAAGCAGGGCTGAAGTTCTTAATCGACGTAAAATCATCAAATCTACCTTGTTTGCTTTTTCTTGCCGAGAAGACCACTGATTAATTGTTGTATGTGTGATGCAGCTTCTCTACCTTCTTTACGCAAATCTTTGTGAGTTGCAATAGCATCATCAACATCGCCACCATCAAAGTCTTTGTCAGCTTCGGAATCAGTTGCGCCCGCCTCTGTTGCCATTTCAACGATTTCATCATCTGTCAGCAATCGATAGCCGTGTGCTTCCCCATCACAAATTAACCATTCGTATATGTCATCGTTAGACAACGAAAACAAAACAGTTGATTTAGTCATAACTTCATTTGTTACTCAGCTGTCACGGGGGCATTTTCATCTTGAGTTGATTCAGGCCATAATTTATTCCACGCTCTTTTCAGCGTTACTTCCCAAACATCAGCCCAAGCATCCACAGCATTGTCGACTGCGTGTTTTAAATTGTATGCTTTCCAGTATACTGGAATATTCCTCTTCCATAACTAGGTTTTGAATACATTTTTTTCTGTATCTTCCTTTGAATGTTTTAATGTCCGATTAATCCATTGGCTTTATCAATGATGTATTCGCAGGCAGAAAAGAGAACGTAATATTTTCATCGTCATTTCGTAGCATATTGGCTTCAGGATGGGCAGGTGAATTGTCCAAAATGAGAATCGCCTTTGGCGGCAAATTTATTGGTTGCAAGTATTGTCCAACGTACAGTATAAAAACTTAAAAAACAAGACATTAGAAAAATAGATAAACAAATTTTGGTTTTGTTATTATGTTATGCGTAGTAGTTAACGGGAACCACGTTAATATTTATGCCCTTGAAACAACGTGCTTTTTTTGCTGTACCAATCAATAATATAGGAAGGCGATGATCACCACTTGCATTTGAACATATCACTGCTGTGGTTAGTTGCTTTTGCATTTTAAATCCTTGTTTATTTATTTTTTCAGACACTGCAGCGAGTGTTTTCGTTGACAATGCTTTGGACACTTGATCACTTGTCAAACCATAATCAATCATATCTTAAAACTTTCTTGTATATTTGTCAACGACTTCAATACTTGGGGAACTCCATTTTTCATCTTAGATTTTCAGTTTCCGTATACCGTGGCGATTTTTAAACTTTTTTAACCAACCGCTACTTCCTTTGAATGAAGAATCGCCATTCAATTTCATGTTGAAAAACAACGCTTTTTCGGCAACAATTGGTCCAGACAAAGGAACACCTTCGCTTCATTTTTGAACAAATCACAACTACAGAGTGTCGTGTCGTGCCATCCGAGTGATTCATTTGTGGCTTGTTTTCATTGTCTAACTATGTTTCATCCGGCCATCCAACGATTCCATTTGCGGAGTATACTTTTCAATTCCATCAGTATTTTTCTTTAAATTATTGATTGTTGTTCTCGGAACATCATACTTTTTGCTCTATAACTAAATTTTTACTTATGTTGTCAATATACCTTATGTATGGACCCTGACGGTTAACAGAGGTGACGGTAAATAGAGAGACGGATAATCGAGGTTCCACTGTACATGTGCCAGATCTTGTTTATACTGTGTACTTCATATAGTCCATTCGTCAGAGATTTGACCCCTAAAAAGCATGCAAACAAGCTGAATTTTACCGAGAATATCAATTTTGGGACCCCAACAAAGATGCAAAAAGTTTGCTACTTTTACCTCAGGACTTCCCTCTTAAACTTGTAAGGGTGTAAAAACTTGAAAAAATCGATTTACCAAAAATCTCCACCGTACAAAAAAATGTTTATTTGCACTTTTTGCGTAGAATGAATTCTCTCAAAAGCAACGCTTGAAGCGACGATCGATTTTTCCGCGTACGAAATTAATGTTATAAAATTTGTATCAACTTTTGGCGGTAAAAAGTTGACATCTTTTGATCAGAGTGTCCCATCGACAAAAATCAAAATGCTTTATGAGGTGAAGAGTGCAGCTTTCGTATGCAATTGTTGTGTTTTATCACAAATGTAGTTAGTTTCTATAAAGCTGTTTAATAAATAAACTTTGCCATTTTGCCATTTTTTACGAATCTTTTGAGGTCAATAAAATTTATTACTTTTATTGACCGGCCTTAGTGAAATTTTCATTGTTAGAGACCAGTCTTCAAAACCTATAAAATAAAAATTCGATTTTGATTTTTAGCAACAAATATGAGGCATTTGAAATATGACTAAAAAATTTTGAATGAATTTAAACTTTTACATTACAAATGGTCACAGGTCACAGGAAATGCCTCCAAGAAGACAGTTTTTGGTGAAATTTATAGCAGAAGTTAAGTACTTTTGAAAAACGTACTAGTGTAATTAAAAAATAGCAGTTTTAAATGTTTTAGATTGTTTGTAATGTGAAAGTTTAAATTCAACGTCTTTTAAGCATATTTCAAGTGCCTCACATTTGTTGCCAAAACTCAAAACTGAAATTTCATGATATAAGCTTTGAAGATTAGATTCTAGTTATGGAAACTACATCGTGGCCAATCAATGAAAGGGATACATTGTATTGATCTCATGAGAATCATAAAAAATGGCAAAAATCGCGCCACATTTATTTATTTAACACCTTTATAACAACTAAGTTCATTTTCGGCAAAATACAAAAATTGCATACGAAAGCTGCACTCTTTACCTTGAAAATGCATCTTAACTTTTGTCGATAGGATCTTCTTCTTCTTCTTCATATGCAAATCCACTAATGAATGTTAGCGATCACATTTTCCATTAATTCTCTATTTCTTGCAATATGTATCAGAGATTGTATGTCGTTAATCCCTGTCCATTGCCTTATGTTTCGGAGCCAGGACATTTTCTTGAGTCCCATTCCTCTCTTGCCTCCAATTTTACCCTCGATTATAAGTTGGAGGAACTGGTATTTTTCATTTCGCATGATGTGACCTAGATACACCGTTTTCCTTTTCTTGATGGTTTCGAAAAGTTGGCGTTCTTGGTTTATTCTTTTAAGGACATCTATATTTGTGATTTTCGCTGTCCATGGTATTTTTAGGATACGGCGATAAACCACATTTCGAAAGCTTCTAATCTGTTTATATCCCTCGTTTTGAGTGTCCAGCCCTCTACGCCATATAGCAGCACTGAACATACGTAGCACTTAGTAAACCTTAGTCTCAGTTGAAGATCAAACTCTGAACAAGTCAGTACTTTCTTGAATTTTACGAAAGTAAAAAGTCGATAGGATACTCGGATCAAAAGATATTGAATTTTTACCGTCGAGCTGGTACAAATTTTATTGAGCATTATTGAGTAAAATTATCTTAGCAACATTTTTTATTTAAATCATTTTGTTCTATGGCGTTCAGATTCTTGGTAAATCGATTTGTTTCCGTTTTCCCCCCTCTACGTGGGGGGTTTTAGAGGAAAGCCCGGGGGTTAAAGTAGTAAACTTTTTTGCATCTTTTTTAGCGTCTGGACGTAACAATATATATACTTCATATATGTATTGAGATGTTTATTTCTCCATATAATGTCACTTAGATAGCTTGCTACTTTATTAGCCTTTACAGCTGGGAGTCTTACTCCATTGTCGGTGTTGGTTGAGCTTGATATCTCTATCCCTAAATAGTAAAAACTTATTGTTTGTTTTATCACGTTCTCGTCAACTTTTGCTATTGTCATATTTAGACTTTTCGCTTTTGTGTTTTAACGTTGCAGATCGTCTGCATTTTAAGGTAACAAATCAGCATCGTCTGCGTAACTTAATATTTTCATCCCCGCATTCCTCATTTTATATTCTTTCCCTTTGCGCACTTCCATTATTAGCTAATCCATAATGATATTAAAGAGTAATGGGCTTAATGAATCACCTTGCCTTATTCCACCGTATACTTTAATGGAATCTGCAAATTCCCCATTTACTCAGGCTTTAATTGTATTTTCCCTGTAAATGTTTTTAATTGTTCTGATTAAGTTCTACGGACTTTCTCTGTTAGGTAAGAATGCGATAACATCCTTTTGCTGAATTCTAGCAAAGGCTTTTCGTAGGTCTATGAAATCTGGTCACAGGTTAAATATACCTGATAGATTGTTCTAATGTTTGTTGCATAATAGGAGTATATATTTTGTCAAAACATCTGAAAGGACGATTTTCTTAAAACATCTGAATTTTATTTCCATTGTATTTGTCAGCGTCCATGTCTCGCATCCATACATAAGCACCGGTCTGATCACGGTTTTATATATTCTGCTGCCTGAATTCTTCCTTTTAACTTTTCCGTGATATCGTTATCTGTGATGATTTTCACTTCCAAATATTTAAAACTCTTCACCCTTTTAAAGTTATATGAGTATATTGTTACATTTGCCCTATTCTATCTCGTCTCTGATGTCTGCTAATGCACATATATTTGGTTTCCTCTTCATTGACCCTTAGGCCTGTTTTTTGTCTCTACCTCTAATTTATTGAAAGTTTTCTTTACATCGGTGACTGTGTTTTCCACAATATCAATATCATCTGAGTATGCTAGTAGTAATTTTGGTCTATTTACTCTCGGTAGTTCTGTGCGTTGTTCTTACTACATTCTCCAGAATTATACTAAAAATATGACTTTGAGACAAATGACTTTGAAAGTTTGTTATCTATTTGTACTCTGGATCTACAGCCATTGACTCAGATTTTGACGAACTGCATAAGTTTTTTTGGAACTGAAAGCTATGACATTGCATTTCACATTTGATCCCTTTTAATAATGTCGTATGCTTGTCAAAAATCTATGAACATATTATGGATAGTTCTATTGAATTCCTATCCCGTTTCAAGTACCTAGCTACCTTAAAGTGAAAATTTGATTTGTGATCGATCTATTTTTTCTGAAGAATTCAGCTTTATATTCTTCTCTGAAATGTTCTATAAAAGAAGTTAACCTGCTTAAGAGAACGTTCGATAAAATTTTGCGATTTTCAACTGGTTAATTGCTTGCCAGAACTGTATGTAAAACATGAATGCTTCTATAATTAGAAGGATTCTTCTTATCTCATTTAACACAAAGATTAGATCATACTATATTTGTAGGTTTATGGAGACATGTAGAACCTTCTCAGTCGGGATACATGATAGGAGGATACTACAAGAATCCATCTCCGAATCAGGATTATTATCCCTCAATGACTGCTTTTGTTACTAAAGATGTTGTCGCTACCAATACTTTTGCGGGACTCCCTCAAGAACAGGGATGGAACTCTGATTCTAAAGAAGAATTTACTGAAAGGGTACCAGTAGCCCAAGATATTCCAAATAGAAGTAAGTTTTAATATTTTTATTAAGTTCAAAAATATAAATTTATGCATTCATAGAGTCTACAATTATCGTGTCAAAAACGGGCACAAAGGTTACTAAATAATTAAGTTAACTAGTCATCTTGAATACTCTGACAATAATTCTTTTAATAGAAAACACAAATCTGTTTTGTCCCAGTGCAACGCTAAATTTTTACTTCGTTATATTTTTACTCTTGAGTAAAATTTAAACGTAATATTTTTACGTTACGTTATAAAATTTACGCCGTGTGTTCAAATTTTACTCCCTTTATGCTATATTAAAAATATTGAAATCTAATCAGCATTTTGGTGTTGCTAAATGTGATTGTCTGGAACCTACTAAATGTTTTGTTTACTAATTCTGGTTACTTATAAACAAAATTAACTTATACCTCCAAGCTCTCCATGGAATGCAGCAATATTTTTAAATACCCCATTGCATGATTAGAATTGTTCAAAGAAGACAAGAATTATAAACGAGCTCTTTTCATATACCCGATTATGACTTAAAATAAATATCAAAGTCTTAAATGTTTATTTGATAATTAAAGTTTTATTTGATAATTACCAGTTCAATTATATAACCCCTCAGGCGCCTCCCTAACCCGAGATATGATAAACACTGTGATATGCAGGTCCTATAGTAAAGTACTAACGTATTGGAGTTCCCCTCACATTTACATACAAAAACAAATAAACAACGTGCATGTAGGGTAAATACTAATCTTTGTATTAATATTAATCTGCATAATATAAAGGCTACTGTTTTCCCACAGTAGCCTTTATATTATGCAGATATATTATAAATGAGAATGGGTGTGTAAATAATCATTAAGTGGTTTTGAGTCTAGGTGATAAGGAATAGTCTCTAATTGTTCAATTAGTCATTTCCACAAATCAAAGGAGCAACTGGACAAGCTCCTAAATATCTTTCTCTAACATAGGATAGACTATCTTTCCCAATATGGTACTTACTTCGAATCAGAGAGAAAAATTTTAACACAGAGTAAAAATTTAACATCAACATTTTACTCTAGCGTAAAATTATACTCTAGAGTAAAATTTAAAACGTAGTAAAAATTTAATGTTACACCAGATCTTTAATTTAGCAACCTGGCAAAAGATTGATCAGTTTTAGAATCTACTTACATTATAAATTTGGAATGTGGCAGTTTATTTCTTTTCCCATCTAGATCCGTAATGTTCAGCGTTAACGAAGATATCTCATGTAGGCTCTTTACATATCATTACAGTATTGACTAGAGACAGGCTGAAGCTCCACTTAAGAGAGCTATATTCGCTTCATCTGTCTCTGTGGGCTAGTGAAGACCATTGAGTCAACCGATATAAAGATACTACCTCTCCAAGCCTACCCATGCCCTTAAATGCAACATATCCACTTTGTGGATATAATGTATTTAATAATTTCTTTTTTCTTTTATTGTTACTGAAACTTCTTTTAAATAAATATATTTAGTCACTCTTTTATTTTATTGTTTTTTTTCTGTCTATTGTATTCTGATGAATCGGATGGTACTGCTGCTTTTTTATCATCAAAATTTCTGCACTATATGTTATAATATTTTGCACTAATATTTTAAGACCTATGCTTTTGTTTGCATGCACTGCATCCACCTTATTATATCCCCTTTGTTTTTTGTATATATCTGTTTCTCGTAAATATTTCTCTTGATATCTTTTCGTATTTCCATTGAGATAATATTATTATTTTGGAAGTTGTTACCATTATTTAACTTTCTGGAATATCAATTGGATTTTTTTTTGTATGTTTGAATGGTACAAATTTAAATCTGGTGAGTAAAGTAAAGTAGCTTGAGGTAATACTAAACTACGTAGAATCAGCAAATACTACAGATCACGGAGAGAGCTGTGACTCTTTTCAGTTATATCAGATTTATAACATAATTTCATTAACAATTTCTGAATCACTTGTATTTTCAAATAGTACAAAATAATTGACTTTATGCTTTATTGTTTCAGCTCCGGAAATTGCGATAGAAAACAGTGATTCTGCTGAAGGTTCAACTGCAAACAACAATAATATTAACAAAACTAATAGAAAAGGAAGGAAACCATCCAGACCTCAACAAGAAGACGAAGACGAAACTCCGTGGTGGGCATCTAAGAGTAAGATTTTTTTTTCAAATCTCTTTCATACCAATAAATTTTTCTCGAGATATTTCTAATTGGCTGTGTATCTGCCGCATCCTGTATCATGTCTCAAACTTCAAACTTACAACTTTCAGGAAGATGTTTAGTCTTAGGGTGTAGTCTATGTTTATATGGTTCGATTTCTACATCATTATTTACACTTTCTTTGTTTTCAAAACTGACTTGAATTTTACTTCCTCGCTAATACACAATGAATCACTCACACGTTTATGTACGGATTGAAATTGTTGCACAGGGACTCCATTGGCTTTTCAGCAGTAAAATAAGCGTGCTATTTAAATACTACTTGATTTATGACTGAGACACGTCTCGCCATTTTCTCTTTTAATACACAAACTCTTTCCAATCATAAGTACTACTTTGACAAACTTATTAGCGTACCATTAATGTGCAATCAGTTTGGGAGTATCGCTAAAGTAAGGTGTCAGTTTCTCCGAATGGCCAAAAATTCAAGTACATGCTATGAGGTATTCAATAAATATCTACAATTATGTTAATCTCTCACAACTCACTAATTAGAACCACAGTAAATTCTAAGTAATAACTGATCTGGTTGTAAGAAATATTTTGCAGAAAAATATAAAATAAAAATATGTACTAAAAATTTAAATGTTTTCATAACTTTGTTAATTAACATGAAACTGTCTTTCTTGTTAAACAAAAAGGTAAAACTGCTAGGCAAACACACATTTCTGCGTGAAATGTGCAGTGCACATGAATTATATCAAAAGAAATACCGAAACACTAGCATGAAAGCCATATACTACCTATTCACAAGAAAGGAGACAAACAAATATGTCGGAACTATAGAGAAATATCGTTAATCAATACGACGTACAAAATTATATCCATAGTACTATCTAGAAGACTAACTTCATTCTCCTCCTCAGTCCTAATTCCTTTTAGGACGTGGTGACACCATCAGGCCTTCACAGTTTTTTTAGGATTTCCCTCCATCCTTCTCTGTCCTGGGCTAGTTGCTCGGCTTCCTGTAACCCTTTGTTAATCAATGTTTTTGTTTGATCTACCCAACGGCTTGGAGATCTTTCCCTAGGTCTTTTTCCTTCAACTCTACCCTCGACTATCAGTTTTTTCATCGTGGCTGTTCTTCTAGCAATGTATCCAAAATACTGCAAATATCTCTGTTGTATTTGTTTAAGCAATCTATTCTTACTAACTCTATACGCAGAGGAAATAATAGGCGACTACCAAAGCGTTTTTAGACCGGAAATGTCGACCATAGACCCGACATTCATTCTACGCCAGGTGTTGGAAAAAACTGGGAATTCAACCGCGATGTACACCAAATCTTCGTGAACTTTAAACAAGCTTACGATTATGTTAGCAGAGAAGCATTGTGGGAGACCATGGTAGAAATGGGAGTACCTGGAAAGCTGGTACGATTAGCACAGGTGAGCACAGAGAACGCTTCCGCACGGATCAGAGTTGGCAGCATCACGTCAGAGGAATTTCTCATTAACACCGGGCTTAGACAAGAAGATCCTCTCGCTCCCCTGCTATTTAATTTTGCACTGAAACATGCGGTAAGGAAAGCTTAACCACAACTAATAAACGGATTTGCCGCCCAAGGATCAAACATACTATTGGAATTTGCTGATGATGTGGACACAATTGCACAATCTACCAGAGATGCAAAAGAAGTATTCACCCTATTTTAAAACGGAGCCAAGGAAGTTGGTCTGAAGGTAAACGGGGACAAGACCAAGTACATAGTGTCGAAGTGTGTACAAGTCGTCAAAGAATTCAAGTACCTAGGAGCGATTATAACATCTGAAATTAAATATGAAAAGGATGTGGCAGCCAGAATCATTGCAGGAAACAGGGCATATCACTCATTAATAACCGTACTTAAATCAAAAATACTTTCAATACCAGCAAAAATAAGACAATAATTCGTCCCACAATAACCTATGGAAGCGAGACATGGACTCCGAACTAGCGGAAAACGACAAAATTACTGGTACTGGAAAGAAAGATACTGCAGACTATCTATGGGCCTTGCAGAGAAGAGATAACAGAAAAATGGAGAAGAAAACACAATTATGAACTCCAGACAGTGTATGGAATAAGATAGACGGACCACGTGCTAAGATCGAGTGACGAAAGACTCCTGAACGCCATATTCTGGGAACGGCCTGCTAGCAGAAGGTCAGTTGGTCGCCCAAGAAAGATATGGAAGGACGCAGTAGCCAGTGATGGAGAAAATGAGAATTCAGCTATGGTAAATAGCTGCTCAGGACCGACAACAATGAACGGAAATAGTAAACGCGGCCAAGACTCGCATAGAGTTATGGAGCCAAATGATTATGATGATGATTTACTGTAAATACTGTAAAAAAAAGATTATAAAAGGATTTTTGTTTAATTCAGTTTAGAAATAACTTGGTTCATTGCTGGAGCAATTTACCTTCGTACTTCTTATATTGTACAGTTAAGTGGACCATTGGCTGTCGAGTATCTAGTGATAATCCAAAACAGTAGCAAATTCGTGAAATATACTTTATTTATTGTTCCTTATTTCTCTTTGTATATTTCCACTTTTCTAGGACTATATTTTAATATCAATAATTGCGTATAAAATATTCAAATTTATTTTGACTTACTGTATTTTTTGTTAGTGTAGTTTACTTCTTATATTTTTATGATTTTTTTGGCATATAAATTTTTGTGGATTTTATTTTAATTTGTGAACTGTTCTTTTATTATCATCTTTTGGTTTTGTGTAAAAATATTGTTTTATAACTTGTTACAAATTTTGTTTTGTATAAAAAGTCTGCGTCTATTATTTAATTTACATTATTTTTAAGTTTTATTAAATTTTTCTAAAATTTCAAGGGTTGCTAATTTGTTGTATTTCATTCGATCTTCTAATAAAACAAATTGTTGTAATTTTTTTCATTTTCGAATATTTTCTGTACAGCACCAATCTGTATATACTAGTATTTTAGTTTGTAGAACTATTTATAACTTAACCTTTTGGCTGTCTTAATTTAAGTATCATTTAAGTAGTTTAATCTAAGTATCTTAATTTTGGTAATAATTAAATTAATTGCACTGATTTTAGGTGGGGGTCCATCATTTACGTCATTTTTCCCGATCAACATCAGCGGCGGAGGAGGAGGTAGCTGGAAACGTCGTTCGGCAGGTTCTGGTGCCCAAGATGAAAACGATATACCGTATTCTTCATCAGGGTCTGCTACAGCTATTGCCAATTCGTTTTCGACTGGTAGAGGTAAGAGTTTGTTGACACTCAATATTAGACGATATTATAATATAAGAGTTATGCACTTTGAATGGCAGAAAATTTAAACAACTTTCTCTGTTGTCCATGTATGAAACACTACAATTTGTAGCTTCGAAATCTTCCACACAAATACACACAACAATTTTTGTAGAACCCCAACTTCGAGTGACATATATGTTCCAATGAAACAGTGGGACCCACATGTCCAAAGATCAAATCGGTCACACTCCGTAATAGAGTGGTACTTATCTGACCCCCCAAGCTATAACCAACCACCCCTACCTATCGCAGGGCATATTGAATGAGGAAGCTTTGTACTGAAAGCTCCTTTGGATGCACTGGGTAATGGGATATTCTCTGTTTTACTTTATGTGGTTAAACTTTTCTTTTTGGGTGCCTTTAAACGACCCTTTTGCTGTATGAGCTTCGCCACAGTTTGCATATGTTGGGTCAGTATTTTTGTCTTTTTGGCATTTTTTGCTTAAGTGATTTTCTCCGCACTTTATACATCTTGATCCGAATCAAAGCCGGGCCTTTGATCCGTGAAAGAATCCCTGATAGTTGTAACACTGCATTACTTTAATATTATTTTTTATTTCATCTTCTACATATATCCTAATGTAGCATAGATCGGTGTTTTTTTTTTTTTTTCATTTTTTGGTCGTTTTCCTCGGTGATGGAGACTAGGAAAATTGATAGTCGCTTTTGTCTTCTTTTTTTGATATCATGTTTGATACCTGGATGATGTCAATATTTTTTTCGTTCAGTTCTTTTTGAATGAATTTCATGTCTGTCGTTTCCGACAGTCGCCTTATCACCATTCGTTTTTTTTTAACATTAAGTGGATAGTCAATCCACTCTTTATTATTTTTGTTATATTCCTCCAATACTTTAATCATGTTTAGGTAGCCCTCTCTGTCGTGTATTTGGATGACGATTAAACTACCAGATTTGGCAAAATTTTTTGTTGAGCCTATTCCTTTCTCTGCTGCTTTTCGGAAAATATATTGTCTTTTTCCTAACGTCTTAAGAATGTTCACCAGTAGTTTGGGCACAGCATTTGTCTTTTGTTGTTCTCTCTAGTTGTTCTTTTGCTGCTGTTTTTCAGCGGTTTCCTTTTGTGTCGTTGGTTTGGGCGCAGTTTTCATCATTTTTTTCGTTTACTGCCTCAGTTTTCATTTCGACTACAATGTGTGTTGTGATGGTTCTCTCTTTCTTGTTATTTGTTTAGCATGCCTCTAGCTATGCATGCTTCTTAATTTCTCTTTTGTAATATAAGTGTCTACTTTTCAGCATCACTCAATTTATTTTTGTTTCTTCTATGGCCTTTTTTGTTTGTTTTTTATTTTGTTGGACTGTTCACTCCGTTTCGTTTTATTCATGTATTTGCTTGGCCAGTACTGGTACTGGGTCTTTTTTGTTCTTGCATTTTTGCCTGGTTTTCAAGCATTTTTTTTGTACTGGTTTTGGTTTTTGTGCAGATTTTTTAACTTGAGTCGATTTATCCAACGACTTTTTTTTCTGTAATTTTTTCCATCGTTTTAAGTAACTTATAAAGTTTAGTAAGATTTTAAAGTTGACCAAGTTCAAAATGAACAAAGTTTGAACCAAATGAAGTTTGAACAAAGTCCTCGATGGTTATTTTTTCCTCAAGTTTTGTCAGTTTTTTTTCTCTTTTCCTCCTGCATATTTTTGTTTTCCACCTGCATGTGACGGATTTGATTCATTAGCTATTTGTTCTTTTCTTTCATTATCTTCATTTGTACAACCAATATTTGCATTGGGTTGGCTAGGTTGGATTCCATTTTCACTCTTCTATTTTCTTTAGTTCTTTTAACAAGATTAGTGTCTTCAAAACTACTATCCGAGTCTCCTGGGGAGAATTGTCTTTTTCGGTTCTTCAATATTTCGTATGTATCGCGATCACTGTCACTGTCACTATCAATATCGTTATGGACTGTGTACACTGTACACTTTTAAGTCGACGTCCTGCAAATGGACACTATCGTCTACTTTACTAATGTTTAACTCCAAATTTGTTTCTGATGTACTTAAATTTATGTTTTTATCATCATTTAGTTCATTAATGTCCGATTTATGTACAGTATTTTTATCTGATGATCGTGAATTTATGTTAATGTCGGCATTAATTTATCAGTATTCGAATTTAAATTTAAATTTGCGTGCCAGATTTATGTGAATTATCTGTGCCAGAGTATGTCCAATCTGAATTTGAATTTAATAAATCATCATTTTCATTAATCTCTGGCAAGTCCTCGTAAATATCATAGTCTTCGATATCTTCAAATTCAGTTACATTTATGGTCATCTGCAGTTTCTGCGCTTCCTCTCTGGACCAACAGGCCCTCTTTGTATTTGTTTTTGGACCCTGTACATTATTATTTTATTAACTGTTTGTTACACATAAACAAAGTTACAATGTTATTTTAATTCAAATTTACTTTCAAACTTAATAAGCTGCTGTTTTTATCACCATTAACTATTTACATGTGCAAACCCGTAGAAATAATCGTTTCATTTTTTAAATTTTCAAGAGGAAACTTGTAAATGTGTCTAAACACTTTGACAGTTTTTTGATAACTCCCAAATATTTCATAAAAAATTGTAATATATAGCATAAAATTTGTTTTCACTCATATGAAGATTACATTTTCAAAATTGAGTATCTTTTAAATTATTTTAATTGTTCTAGGTGGTGTGGCAACGTCACATGCGACTTCATTTGGAGACCCATATTTAGCAGCGATGTTTTTGAGAAACGGTTATAATCTCAAAGGACATGGTCAACAAAGAGCTGGAGCTACGAATTATTAATATGTGTCCGGAAGTCCAGTTTAATGCAGACTTATTTGCCAAATATATATTTAAAAATACAAAAAAATGAAGGAGAATGTTTATCATCTTAGTTGAAAGAAGATGTATCGCCATATAACTCTTGTTTACTGAACAATTATCTTTTGTATACTATTTTAAATAACCATTTCTATTTATTAAATATACGTTTTTAAATAATTGACAGTATATATTAGATTACCTTTAATATTGTTTGATACATATCTTAACTCTGCGGGTGCTACTGTTCTGTGGATCTAGAAGCATGGACGCATACAGTGATCATTTTCTTGTTAGAGCCAAATTAAGACAAATCTTTCTAAATAATAGAACAATAAAGCAAAACAGATTCAAATATGTAATATTCAGGGTTTCAAAGGCAGCAAAAAAAATAAATAACCTAGTTACAAAAAACTACAAGATCAATATGAGAAATAAATAAAAGTTCAACTCATGTGAAGTACTTACGTCGAAAAAAAAACAAGAATGAAAGAAAGAGCTAGTTGACAATGAATGTGAGGGATTCTTATAGTTAAGGTTTAAATGATGCACCATTTAAATGAGAAAACTATCCAGAAATGCGGAGGATCCAGAATATAGACAAAGCGATAAAATTAAAAAAAGGGCACACGAAGAAAAGATTCTCGAGGATCTAGAGTCTAATAGAATGAACAACATAAGTAGATATTTTTTCGGTAGATAAAAATAGAAGTAACGACTTTGAGTCAACTGTTATAAAGATTGAATTTAACCAGGTGATCAAATCGATACGGCAGTTAATGCTGGAAATACAAGAAAACATTGCACTAGCTATTTATAAATTTTAGGCAAACAAATTATAGCGTCAAAAGAGTGAAATTGAGAAATAACCAGAAGTAACTATAAGTGCAGTATGACCTAAAGAAAAACGGTCAATTTTTTTACAATAAGCAGAGGTCTTAAATAGGAAAATGTTCTGCTGCCACGTCTCTTTAACATCTTTAACGATAATATAAGTATAGTAAAAAATATTTATGTCAAGGAAGATTTCATTTAACTGGAAAATGGTACAAAACAAGTTAGCCTACGAATTAACGAAGATATAGTGCTTAATCTATAGATCATCATAAAAAGCTTCGAGCATTGGCTGACTGCCGCATTGACTACCGATATATTGCCTTGATTAAAAGTATTTACGAAACTGGTACAGCTTGTGTCCGCCTTCATGAAGATACCAAGAAGTGTCGAATAGAACGTGAAATTAGACAGGGTATATCTTCCCTAAATTGTTTACAGCTGTTCTTGAATACATGTTTAGGCAAATGGAACGAGAGGATAATATGGGAATTAATATAAATGGTGAAGATCTGAACCACCTAAGATTTGCCGATGACATCGTTTTACTATCTGATAGAGTTAATAAAGCTACAAAAATGCTGCATACGCTCTAGAAAGTGTCAAAAACAATTGGTCTTAAAATTAACACCTCAAAAACAAAATTTATGACCAATCTTGTAGTCAGCGGTAAAATTCTGATTGAGAGCCATAGCATCGACCAAGTAATAGCTTACAAATAACTAGGGCATGAGATTCGCCTAGGCCGAGATAATCAGACAACTGAAATACAAAGAAGGACAGGTCTCACATGGTCTGCTTTGGTAGATTAAACAACATTTTCAAGTCTAGTATCCCAGTTTGTATAAAAAGAAAGGTTTTTAACTAGTGCGTTTTACCGGTTCTCACATATGGTGCAGAAATACTGACTCTGACAAAAATAACAATAGATAAAATAAGAGTTACACAACGCGCTATGGAAAGATCAATATTAGGTATTACCATCAGAGATAAAGTACCAAACCTAGAAATAAGAAGAAGAACAGGAGTCACAGATGCAGTTGAAAAAATAGCCAGGGCTAAATGGGCTTGGGCCGGACATGTTGCCAGATTAACGGATGACAGATGGACCAAAAAGATTTTGGAATGGCGACCAAGGCAAGATGCATATCGAAGCAGAGGACGACCACCGACTAGATGGACGGATGATATCAAGCGCATCACCACAAACTGGATGCAAGAAGCTTAAGACAAAAATAGGAAGAAAATTTTACGGGAGGCCTACGTTCAGCAGTGGATAAACATAGGCTAATTGATGATGATAATGATGATGAGTGCTTAATCAAGAACAGAAAAAACGAAGCAGAATGGGACAGAACGTAACAAGGGATCTTTACAACTTTGAAAGGTTTTATCAGTTAAAATATTTGGAAACAACGATTATCTGTGGCTATATAATTATGGTCTATAAAGACGAAAAAGACCCGGTGACCCAAGACACCTCTCATGACATGTCTTAAATATCTTAATTGTCCAGTTTGACTGCTGTCCAAAAGTTTTCTTTTTCTCAGTAGAAACACCGAGATGCCTGAGATGTCTTGCCTTTGGACATAAACAATGGCACTGTAAGGGGCAGAACATAAGAGGATGTCGCTTCCGATGTGACAGAGAGTGTCACATAGCGCTGGAATGCAAGGAAGAAACAACCAGATGCCTCAACTGCGACGTGAATGGACATGTGGCGAATTCAAGAATGTACTTAAAGTTCAACCGACTGGTTGAAATAGGAATCACTGAGGACTAGTCCCAAGAAGAGTACGAGAGTGTAAAAGAGAGCGCGATAGAAGACCAAGGTTTAGAAATGGCAAACAAAGAAAACAGGACTCGAGAGCTGAGGATGCTCCAGACTAATGACCTAGTGTTTCTGAACACAAGTCTGGAACCTACGTTTGTTGTGTGAGGTACAGGTACGTACATCGACGTGACCATGGCGACACAAGAAATAAAGGCGAAAGCAAGAGGCTGGAAGGTTTTGCCAGACTGCACCGGAACTGAACATCAGTACATCGAGTTCTCGATAACTGGAACGGGGACCACTAACACCACAAGCTAATTAAATGGAGAGTGAGTATAATGCAGGGTCAATCACCGATATTGGAAAACCTGGAGAGAGTCATTAAAGAAGCGATGGAAGGAAGCAAGATTGGTCGCCAAGATGTCAACAGGATGCCATATTGGTGGAATGCGGACATCGAGACACTAAGAAATGTATGTATAGCAATGAGAAGGTTAACAAGAGCAAGAGGCAGAGCAGGAATCAACCCTGAGGTCATCGGGCAGATCAAAAAAGAGTACCGAGCAAGAAAGAGGGAACTGTACAGAAAAATCCATACAGAAAAAAAAGGCACTGGAAAGAGCTGTGTGGAAAGCTGGAGGACATCTGGGGTCAGGGATACAAGATTGTCATGAAGAAGTTCTATGCGTATCCTCCTTACGAAATGTCTACGGACAAGAAGCTTGAAATAACAAAAGAGCTCTTTCCGGACGGCAGATGTCATGGTGTATGGAGGGATGAAGGAGCTGAGCGGGCTGTACCCTTTACCATGGATGAACTTATCGAGGTATTGAGTTCACTGAAGACTCGTAGGTCCCCCGGGCTGGATCAGATACCACTTGAGGCGGTGAAGGGTAAGCATGGGTGGAGCCTGCGTAGCTTCTGGAGCACATGAATGCACTGCTGGAAGCACAAACCTTTCCTGAGCCTTAGAGGACATCGAGGTTAATACTGCTTCCCAAAGCTAGGGAAAAGTATCGCCTCATCTGTCTTCTTCCATGCATCAGTAAGCTGTATAAAAGGATGCTGCGAGTACGCATAGACGAACTGATTGAGAGGTTAGGTGGTTTATCTCTGAGGCAATTTGGTTTTTGTAAAGGAAAAAGAACGATTGATGCAATCATGAGTGTACTCGAAGCATTGCGCAATAGAGGGGATGAACATCGCTGGGCGGCCTTGCTGTTGTTTGATGTTAAGAATGCATTCAATACGCTGCACTGAAACGAGATAATGAAGGCAATGGAGAAGAGAGAATGTCCTGGTTACCTGATGAATGTGGTGGCGGAGTATCTGTCCGAGAAAAGGATTATGGTAGAAAAGGACACGATCGTGGACGTGACGACCGGGGTACCCCAGGGATCTGTCTTTGACCCGACGCTATGAAATCTGGCATATGACGGGGTTAGGCATTGTGAGGGTACGGAGAGGGTACAACCTCATTCGCATTCGCGGATGACCTCGCTGTACTGGTAGTGGCTCGGGATGAGCTAGATCTCAAATACCGGGTTCGGAACGTAGCCTGCGTCGTAAAGAAGTGAATGACGCAGCATGGACTGAAACTTGCGACAGAGAAAACCGCAGCCATCATTCTGAAGGGCACAATAAACAGACAAAGTATAGAATTAAAATGTGCGGGAGCATATCTAACACACAAGAAACAAGTTAAGTATCTAGGAGTGGCATTGCACCAGAATGGAAAATGGAGGGAGCACGTGCGGGAGGTGGTCCGAAAGGCTGCGAATAGTGCAGCTGCGTTGTGGCATCGTCTAATATGTGGCACCAGTCTGGAGCGAGGCGATAGAGATAACGGCCTATAAGAGTCTCATAACACAAGTGGACAGAACAAGTCTTATAGACCATCACTGGGTGTGTTCCATTGCATATTTTGGCGGTGGAAAGAAAACAGCTTTATAAGAGAAGAAGCCCAAACCTTGCTGTGGCCGAGAGAAGACAGGAAAGGGAAAGGTCAGTTGCAAGATGGCAAGAAAAATGGAACAACACGGAGGATGTGGCACAGTGAACGAAAATGCTAATTCTGAACATATGAAATTGGGTAAACTGAGGCCACAGGCGACTGGATTATTTCCAGATGCAGGTGTTCACAGGACACGGGTGTTTTAGGGTTTTCCTCTATAGGAACGGAAAGGCTGATACAGATGAATGCCTATATTGTGGCTACTCTGACACTGTGACACATACGATGTTAGATTGCAGTAGATGGATAGTGGAAACTAACAGAATGAAGAGAGAGAGACAGGTGTGAATTTTGTTACAGTGAGAGAAATTATTCAGAGAATGATTGAAATGATTGAAGAGGAAGAAAGACAGCTGGACCAACGGCAAGGGTAAGAGTCAATGATGCTAAAAGGTGAAGCTAGAAACGTAGGTCACACTGTATGAGATATAATGCGTGAGTCAGACTGTGAGGAAGGAGGACGTGCCCGTCTGGGAATAATGCCGAACTAGGAGCGATGACTACCTACGCGCTACCAGAAACGAGACAGGGAGCCTCCTTGCTGATGAATAGGGTGTGGATGTGTATGAATGGGGAATGAATGAATACAGGTAGTGCTTCGAAAGTGATGCCGGCCTTACAGCGGCCATTTCGCTTCCGGATCGCTGGATGACAGAGGGGGTCTGGTTTAGCAGGTGGGCGTTCGGAGTAGACTCGGCGACGAGAGGGCACTTTAAAATACCTCGGGAACTATCGCCGAAAGCACGAAGAACAAATAGTGCCCAAAGTTCACATGCTTTCAATATGTCAGCAAAACCTGTCTTTAGTGTCTAAGCTTCCATTTCTAGGAAAAAAAAAGAAAACATAGCATCGTAGCAGTCTTATTTTTAGCTCATTATGATGTACTTGTTCATTTTCTTAATTTTCTTATCCTTGCTTTAATTTATTGTTGCACTCAATATTTTCGGTAATTTTTGTTCCTAAATTATTGTAACAAAAACGTAAATATAAACTCCTTTTGTTTCAGAATTAACAAACCTTGCAAAATTTGATTGAATTCTAAAAAAACAATTTATTATGTATCATAATTAATACGAATTAAATTATGTTAAATGATGATATTTTAGCATATTTATTGCAGGCTAGTTGGCCTTATAAATAATGTTTTCATTGAATAAAGTACAAGATTCTTCCTTGATTAAAAAAAAAACTGGTCAAACCAGAAAAATACAGCCACTTATACTAATATAAACTATACTAAAAAACGAAAGTGGTGGTAGTGTTTCAAACGATCAAAACATTTTTTAGTTTTGATACCATTAGTGAGTTAAACTGTATTGATTAACAATGAAAATTGTGATTCTTTTTGCTTTTATCTGCAATGTTGCACTTGCAGCTCATATTTACCGTAAGTACTACTATTTTGCAACTTTTCTCATTATAATAATATATATATATATATATATATATATTAAATGATATCATGTTTTATATTTTCTTATTTCTCGCAGTTTTTTTATTGCAGTGTATTAATTTAACAATATATAAGATCAATTTAAGTATAAATTATTAGTAAACGGAGAGCCGTACTGCCGTCCTCAAATAAAACGCAATATGTGCAGTTAACTTAAAACCGAGAAATCGGCTTTCAAAATTTTTTGTTAGGACTCTATTATGTTTTAATAACTTTTTAACGCAAAACATGTTATGATACTAATGATAGTTGAACTTTATTAAAAAGTACATTCTTAAAAAAATTATATTTTTATCAAAGATGTAAATAAAACGTCATAAGTATACCCCGTTTTAATTGAACACCGGAGATATTACTGAATCAGAGAAAGTGCCGTATCTGCATTTTATTTACAAATAGGATTGTTTACAAGGAAGAATATTTACCAAAAAAGAAAAATAAATAGCTTCTAATTGATTATTATATATCCAAAATACCTACAGCTCAAAAATGTTCAAAATACAAATACTGGGTATGTTTAAAAAATAAAAAAATTATTAAGTTATAACCAACTATATGCAAACAATTATTATGTATCTTTTTCGTCCTCAGTACCGTCATCATTTAAAAGGTCTTGCAAATTTTTCCAAAACAATTTTCGATTTTCTGGAAGCAGAGTATTTAATTGTTTAAGAATCTGTTTTTTTTTTCTCTGGGGAATTCTCTGAGCTTTCCTAAAGAAGGTATGAGTTTAAGAATTTTTTTTATTTCACCGGTTTATTCATTAGGAATCCAAAACATAAAACTATCCATAAAAACTTTTCTTATATTTTAAAGTGTATTGGCGACACTTAGCCACAATTTTGACCATATCTGAAGGGTATGGTCGGCTTTTTAAATTCTCTTTAATTTAGTTTGCGACGTCATATTTTTCCAAAATTTTTAAGTCTGTAAAATTCATTTCTTTAACCTCCACATTTCCTTTGCAACTACTTCAAACTGCATCAATAAAATCGCTAAAATCATAAATTTTTTGCTTTCTCTTCATAGAGAGTTTGATTTGGTGATGAAAACTATCAGCGGACATAAAAGTATATTCAGGTTCGAAGTAGTTGAAAGTTCTTTATCGACTTGTATTTCGTTAGAATTTATCATTTTCACTAAAAAAGTAAACAATTTCCAGTTTTTGTTCTGGCTGGCACAGTTGCCCATCCATATTATTATATTTTGGCGTCCCTAACAAACTTCAGAAAGACGTAGAATGTACTAATATCTTCTTTTGAACGTTTACTAATTTCTTCATGTCAAACAATGGCGAGCTTATTATTTTTTGACCTTTGTAAATAACTTTTTTAAACGTTTCCATTCTTGGCAGCATGATGACCTTTTGCAGATCGCAAGAAATCCATTTTGTTTTAGAACCAAATGTAGTTTCTGATTGTTCTCTATATAATTGACGTGATTCTTTGGCACGATTTATATGGTTTTTCCAGAAAATATTTGTTACATAATTCTTGAAAACTTTCATCGTTATGCCCATAAAATTTAAATGATTCACAATATGTGGCATTATTTATGTCCAAGTTTAGTGAACAAGATATTTTTGGATTTAATTTTTCTCCGATAAGTATATAAATATTATATATATATATATATATATATATATATATATATATATATATATATATATATATATATATAAACATATTTAAGATATATTTTCTCAAAAATACATAATTTTAATATATGTCGTCTATCAGCGAAAAGTAACACATTTTGAATGTATTTAGAAGGAATTATTTGATAAAATACGTTTAAAACTTTAAAATGGCAATTTATTAATGCTAATTTATTAATTTGTTTCTTAAAAACTATAAACAACGTAAGAATTCTTAATTTTTAAAGAATGTTAAAAACTATTGTAAATAGCATTAAAAATTTGCAAATAAGTTTACCACTCATACCCCCTGGCTTTCCCCTTACCCCCCCGCCTGTAGGGGAGAAAATTCCATAAAGAATCTATCTATACGTCGCGGTCGTAGAAAAAAATTTTTCAATAAAAAAATGTAACTAATACCATTTTGAACAAAAATGTTAATTTGCACTTTTATTGTAGAATAACCAATTTTCTCAGACACAACACTTGACGAGAACGGTGATTTTAAATGAAAGTAAAAGCTACTCTCTTCTACTTTAAAACACATTTTGATTTTTGTTGATCAAAATATATTCATCCAAATAATCTAAGAGATACCTTTATTAATAGCTTTAAATTAATATTAGCTACAAATACAAATACATAAATAAATTATCTTTTTAATATTTTCAGTTCAGGTCGATTATTGTACCACCTTAACGATAATGCTGATAATAATAGAAAAAATTTAACAAAACTTCAATATTTTTTTGTCTATAAGATTAAAAGTAATATTTATTTACTGGCAATTGATTTTCGATGTTTATGTATATTTTTATTTAGGTTTGTAATTTCCAATACCAGAGAGACATAATTGCGAAACGCAGGGCCTACTACCGGGATGCTTCAAGCTGCCAGAAGTCAAAGAGACGTTGCTGAGGTCCTCCACACGAACAAAAGCATCATTAATAATTTCTTGTGAAGGTTTTAAAAAACTGGTGATATTTCTGAACGTCATACAGGCCGTACAAGGATAACCAACCAGATTTAAGAACGTTTTATTAAGTTGCAAGCTTTGCGACATCGCATTGTAACTGCATTATACTTACAAATGAGGCTGCAAGATACATATCACGTGTTTGTAAATGGACAAACCATTGGAAATTTACTGCATGAAATAAGGTTTAATGCTCGAATGCTTGTGGGAGTGTTATCCAGCGGGAAATCGCGCTCATCGACCACCAGAACACGCAAATTGGTTTAGACGTAAATGGGCCTCTACAGATGAGTCCTCATTTTAATTTGGCATTATATACAAAACAAACAATAATTTGAAGACGATCTCGCGATACTGAACGATTGACCACTGTGCAGGAGGTTCATAGACAGCAAGGTGGCAGTATGGGGTGACATCACTCTTGGTGGAAGAACCAATCTTGTATGTCGGGAACGATTTCTAAATGCAACAGACTACTGCGATATTATTGTCGAACCTATTGTTGTAACCTTTGCACAATAGACTGGTCCCCAATTTTAATTAATCAATTACTTGAAGATAATGAAATTAAGGTTTTACCATGGGCTGCGCAATCGCCAGATTTAAACCCAATTAAGCACTTATGGGACATATTGGGCAGACTCATTTTATAACAAAATATTGCGTTCAATACAATGCAGCAACTGTTTAAGAGCCATTCAATTGAGTGAAACAGAACACCGCAGCAAGACATTGACCATCTGATTATGAGTTATCCTTACAGGTATAGGATTGCAATCAACAACCGTGGAGGTCATACACTATACTAACTTCAAGACTACTTTGTTGGGAGTTGGGGGGCAACATATTAGTTTTTTTTGTCACCATTATTTAAAAAATGTTTATTTTATTTTCGAAACACATGTTTATAACTATTTATTAAAGATATTTGAAAAAAAAATTATTTGAAATCCTTGTGTAAAGTAGCGTGTTTGTGTACCCTAGATTATTTTAATGTGTGTATATCGAATTTTTACCGTCGAGGTGATAAATATTTGATTTGAAATTTATTTCGCGCGCATAACTGACTAGCAAAATTGCTGGTCGGTTCAAGCGTTGTTTCTGATAGAACGATTCATTTGACACAAAAAGTGCTTTTTGCTCAAAAAACACTATTGTTCAAAATTATCTAAGCTAGATTATTTATTTAACATTTTATTCTACACCATACAGATTCTTGGTAAATCGATTTTTTCCGTTTTTCTCTCCCTACAAGGTGTGTTTAAGAGGAAGTCGGAGTCGAAAGTGGTAAACTTTTTTGCAATTTTCGGGGTCAAATCTCTTACAACTGGACAACATACAATCTTTCTCAATTAATATTCTTTAAAGTTATAAAAGTTTCTAATGTAATATTTTGTTTATTTCAGCGGAATACTTAAAACAATATCGTTGCAAGGCATCTTCGGAAAATTTTAGTGACTGCTTTCTAAATAAGCTCAGGAACACTCTTCCTTATTACGTTAAAGGTATTCCGGAATTAGATATACCTCCATTTGATCCGTTTATGCTGCCTCTATATAGTCGCAATGTAAATATTTTGGGAAACAAGATTAGTGCAACTTTCAAAAATTCAATTGTAACTGGATTAAGAAACACTATTATTCATAATGCCAAGTAAGGACAATATTTACTTCTTTTTTTGTTATCAGATAACTTCTCACCTGGTCATAATGATCAATTATTAAAACTAACTTTAAGAACTATTGTTTTTAATTTATTAATAGAATGATGTACCTAATTCTATGACTAACTAGCTAACTAATTAACATTTTATATTTAACCTAATCTGATACTTGACTGGAAAACAACGGACTAGAAACGGAGCTATATATTATAGTAGATATTCTGATAGAACAAACCGATATGGTGTGGCCATAATGGTAAGCAAGGAAATAGATAAATACGTACTTGGTTTCACCCCGCTTTCGAATCGCATTATAATGCTACAAATTAACACCAATATAGGGAAAATGAATGTTATTCAAGTATATGCACCAACAGCTGACAAGGAGGAACAAGTAATAGAAGACTTCTACGAGCAATTAGAAACAATAATGAAAACAACAAAAAAACGTGAAGTTCTGATACTAATGGGTGACTTTAATGCCAAAGTGGGCAGAGGACGTGTGGATAGTTGTGTTGGAATGTATGGATTGGGAGAGCGAAATGAGCGTGGTGAAAGACTAATTCAGATGTGCCAAATAGAAGAACTAGTAGTTATGAATACAATGTTTAAATTACCAAATCGCCGGCTCTACACGTGGAAAGCTCCTGGAGACAGCAAAGATAGAATCATAAGAAATCAGATAGATTACATCTTGATAAGGAACAGGTACAAGAACTCTATTACAGTAGTGAAGACTTACCCTGGAGCACATGTAAACTCGGACCACAACCCAGTAGTAGCAAATATGAATGTAAGATTGAGAAAACCATTAGTGAAAAGATCTAGACCACAAATATGCATTGATAAGTTAAGAAAACCAAATACATACCAAGAAACTCAAAACAAAATAAATCAGAGTATCCAAGAAATAAAACAACAAAATAAGAACACTACAGATATTGACACAAAGTGGAAGAATATAAAGAACGCAATCGAGACTGTGGGACGGAAAACTTTAACATTTACAAAAGCTGCCAAACAAGAATGGATGACACAAGAAATTCTCGAAAAGATGGACGAAAGAACAACACATAAAAACAAAGATAAAATTAAATATCAAGAAATTAATAAATAAATAAAACAGAAAATAATACAAGCTAAGGAAACATGGATGTCCATTAAATGTCAAGAAATCGAGGAATGTGAGGCAAGGTATGACACTTTCAACACCCATAAGAAGGTTAAAGAAATGATTTCAGGAAATCGTAACAAACCAATCGGGATATTAAAAAATGCAGATGGTACCACTATAACTGAAACGCAAAACAAACTACTTAGATGGAAAGAATACATTGAACAACTATTTTATGATCAAAAAGTAGAGCAATTATTAGAAGTTAACGGAGAAACCACGGGACCAGAAATAATGAAAGAGGAAGTTATGTATGCTATAAAACACACAAAAGGCAGAAAAGCTCCAGGACCCGATGAAATACCAATTGAACTCATGAATGTGTTGCTTGTGTGAGTCCATATCAAATAGGTAAAGAAATAATAATAAGACTTACTCACAATCAATTTAATTTAACAATCTGACGACCGGTTTCGCTTTCTATAATTTGCAAAGCATCTTCAGGTCGAGATACAAAGTTAAACTAATGCTGCAATAAAATAAACCCAATTAGGGTGGTGTCTCATAAAGATAAAATAAACAAATAAATAAATTAGTTCATACAAATTATAGTAATTATGCCAATATTACATGTCTGTGGTTTTCAAAATGAATAATTTGAATATATAAAAGGTAGTAACAGACAAGGTAAGGCCCACAATTGGTATAAAGTAGCAATCTTTTGTTGTAATAAATTAATAAATGAGCAAATAAATAAAACAAAACAAAACAAACATTACTTACATGCCGGTACTCTATTAATTGATGAATGGTAGGTCATGGTTGCAAAAATCATGTATTGTTGATTGGAGAACTTTAATGAGCTATTGCAGTTGTTTTGACAATAAACGGGAAGTTCTTGAGGAGAACAGATTTGATCCAATGAATTAGAGATAGGTATATTGTTGTTGTTTGTCAGATGAAAGTGATGTTCTTTACTAGTAGTAAATGTACTTGGTTTTGTCTTTGTTGATGACTAGACCGACCTGTTTCGCCGCTGTTTCCAATTCTAGGAGATATTGCTCAACATCTCGCTTGCTACGCCCTACTATGTCAATGTCATCAGCGTATGCTAAGACTTGTATTGATCTATTGTAAATAGTACTGCCATCCCTAATTCGTGTATCTCGGACTGCCTTTTCTAAGGCAATATTAAATAGGAGGCAAGCCAGAGCATCCCCTTGTCTGAGTCCATCCTTTATCTCAAAGGATCTAGAATTCTCTCCCTGTATTCTAACAGTGGCTTCTAAGTTAGACATTGTCATTTTCGTTAGTCGGATAAGTTTCTCTGGTATACCAAACTCATGCATTGATTGGTATAGCACTGTTCTCTTGACACTGTCGTATGCGGCCTTGAAGTCGACGAATAGGTGATGGGTTCAATATTGAATTCTAATGTTTTCTCGAGAATCTGTCTTATTGAATGAATCTGGTCAATTGTTGATTTTTCTGGAGTGAATCCAGCTTAATATTTACCAACTATGCCCACTGTGTAAACTTACAGCCTTTCGTAGAGAATATTTGCTAGTATTTTGTAAGCAGTTGTTAATAGGGTTATACCTCTATAGTTGTCACACTGGAGCTGGTCGCCTTTTTTACGTAACGGGCCTATCACGCCTTGAGACCATTCACAAGGCATGGTCTCATTATGCCAAACAAGAAGTAAAAGCTTATGCAGTGTCTGTAGTAGAGCATCGCCACCATTCTTGTAGAGCACACTGCAAATTTAATCAACTCCTGGTGATTTATTATTTTTAAGCTTTTTAATGACTTGGGCAAAAAGGGCTTTAGGTTGAAAGGATTGAAAGGGTTGAAAGGATTGAAAGGGTTGAAAGGATTCCAATCATTTCGATTTGCTAGGGTGTTATCTGCTTCTTCGATATGATGGCCAATAAATTTTGCATCGAAAAATTCAACCCATCTATTAGGATTGAGGCCGTATCATTTAGGATATTTCCTTCTACATCCTTACAGCTCCTTATTCTTGGCTTAAACTCTTTGCGCATTTTGTTTAGATTTCTGTAGAACTTTCATGTTTCATTTTGATTTCTTAGCCATTCTGTGCTTTCCAACTGCTTTTGCTCAAAGTGTCTTTTTTTCTTCTATGTAATCGTTTCTCTTCTCTTCTTAGGGTCTGGTATTCTTCCTTTGCTCTTCTTGTGCATCCAACTTGATTTGTCTTTAGGTATACCCTGTTTTTGTTATCTGTTGCTTCTTGCACTCCTTGTCAAACCATTCGTTTTCTTTAACTGTTTTGGTTTTCCCCAATATTTTTGTTGCTTTCTCAGTTATTATGTTTTTACATTTTACATACTAACAAGTTTAGGATTGTTAAAACTGGCAGGTTGTAAACGTCCGACAAAAATATTGATCATTTTGAAAAGTCCGACACGCAGAACATATCAAATGACAGGAATTATGTTGGTGATAACTAGCAGTCAGATGTTTGCATGGGAGTTGAATGATTTTGCATGATAAAATTAAATTTTGTTTTCCGTCTCTTACATATTTCTCTTTTTAACTGTTGGATGAGTTGCCTTGTTTTTCTGTTTTTTTTTTCTTTACACCAGTTCTCGAAGTTCTTTAAAATAATTTTGACCTTTGGTTTTTTATAATTTGTTTGGTATTGTTCCATGATTGCTTTTTGTATATTTATAGTTATTTTCTCTGCTTCTTCATCAAGTTGTTCAATAGTTTTGTTAGTTCATTAAGGTCAATTCTGTCACTTAACTCCTGTCTAAAGCCAGCCCAGTCAATGTTGTTATTAGTTAAGTACGGTCATTTTTCTTATAATAACGACTCTAAGCGACGGTCTCCTTCCTCTGTCATTACGAACACATACTCAGGATGTTTCTTGTGCGAGCCCAAATTTACCTTTGTTGTACTCGATTTTTTAAGTGTATTTATGATTTTAGTTTACTGTACAGCTATATTTTCGCAAAGAAACTGAAGCTGTTTTCACTTAAAGATCCTTTTTGTGTGGGGATCACCCCATTATGGGTTTGGTTTTACAATTTCTGGTGTGGTTTCGCTGTTTTCACTACTTTTCTCCATTCTTAGTAGTCTTTAAGTCTTCTTCCACTTGTTGTCTCCATTTCAATTTAGGTCTGCCTCTGGTTTTTACCTGCTGGTATCCATTCCATTGTAATTCTTAACGAATTGCTTTTCTCTGTTCTCATTATCTTACTATGTCCTTACTATCTAATTATTTGTGCTTTTATTGCTCCATGTTCTCATAACTCATCCAATCTTGTATTTCGTGATTTATCCATTGTCTTGCATCCTGTTCGTTTTCCTTTTTTTGGTCCCAGTATTTTTCTGATAATATTCCTCTCAAAAGCTTTGAATACTCTTCTTCTCTTGCTGTTAATGTAAATATTTATACAGCATACACTACTGTTGGCCTTATGGACATTTCGTAGATTTTCATTTTTATTTTTGGCTTATCTTCTTACCTCTAAACATTTTTTTATTTCTGTATTTTGTAAAACGCTGTATTTCTCGATTGAATTCTTCTTTTCATATCTACACTTTATTTTTTCTTGACTAGTACTCCCAAATATTTGAATGTTTCAACCTCTTCGAAATTGTATGCATCTATCGTCAGTTCTGTCCTTTATGTCTTCTTTTTCTTGCTTACGTTCATGTGTTTTGTTTTATTTTAATTTATTTCCAGTCCTCTTAGTGTAGCTCCATTATCTATTTCTTGGAAGGTTTTCTTTAATGCCCTTTTATCTGTTGCTACTATGGTTATATTGTCCGCATATCCTATTATTTGTACTACATTCTTCTTTATAGTTCCAGCGTTTGACAGTTTTTTATCTTGTCTATTGATAGAATAAATAGTACCGTTGAAAGCGCATCTCCTTGTCCTACTCCATTTTTTATTTCTATTGTTTCCGTCCTTTTTCTTCCTGTGTCTTGTGGCTTGTCAATCTCGCATTGTCATTTCTATCATTTTTATAATTTATTTGGTATTATATATTACCCTTATAAGTGTTAAATAATTTATCCTCTGTTTAGTTTGTCAAACGCCTGTTGAAAGTATAAGAAAAGTATATGTGTTTCTTCGTCGTACTCGTATGTTTTCTCCATCACTTGTTTTAGCGTATTTATACCATCTACCGTGGATCTTCCTTTCCTAAAACCGTACTGATAATCTCCTATGCTTTGTTCTGTATATACTGTTAGTCCATCTCTAATTATACCAATCATTTCATTATATGTTACATTCAGTAAATTAATTGTTCAATAATTTTTGTATGTTCTATGGTCTCCTTGTTTTGGGATTGTCACTATAATTCCCTCCTTTCATTCTTATTAGCAGCATTATTTGTTTGGTTCATATATTCTGTAGTAGTTCATAAATCTTTCTGTATAGTACCTTTCCACCATATTTTATAAGTATTCCGTCTTCTCCGGCTGTTTTTAAGCCGGCCGTTTTTAAGTTTGCATGTTTTCTCTTTCACTTCTGCATAGATCAATACTTCTTTTTTTTTCATCTTCTTCCGTGTTCGTTGTTCTTTCTCTTTCTTCTTCTCTATTCGTTGCTTGATATATTTCTTCGTAATACTTCTGTATTTTTTCTGCTTCTACAGCTATAATATATACGTCTATATTATATATTTTTAGATATACCATGTAGGTTTATCTCCAAGAAGCTGTTACAGAATGTTTTAGGACGTCCTGACCATACGCAGTTAAGAAATGTACGACGTCCTGAAATAACACATAACGTCCGATAAACAATAGTTTATTGCCGATAATCTAACACAACTAAGGACATATTGTACTTTTATCCCTCTTATCACTAAGCGATAGAAGGTATATAAGTCTTATTGATTTTTGGTTATGCGGGGTCTTTTAGTAGCCGGTCTACTTGCTGTTTAGTATGGCGGTTAGGTTGAGTAATTTCAAAGATAATTAATTAATTGCAAATGTAGAAAAATTTGTAATATAATAATTATGATACATCTTTTTTATTTTTAGGGTTGATCTTAAAAAGAATTATGCAGAAATAAGCGTTACTATTCCTTGGTTGGATATGGCAACAGAATATGATATTTCTGGCGAATTCTTTTCATACCCAATAGATGTAAAGGGTACTTTTAAGGGAAATATAAGTAAGTACCTCGGTAATTTGGATTATTGGCGATATAATTCGAGATCTATAAGAAATATCAACTAAAAGAAATGTAATCTACTTCATAAAAATAGGTAGGCTAAGATACGAGGATGCCTGCCAAAAGGAAATGGAAATTATTCTCCTTGATATCTTCTTTCTCAATTCAATGACACGAAAGACCAAAGGGGGTCGTGGCCTTCTGTAATTTCTATATTCAACATCGCAACCGGTTTCACCGGTCACGCACTGGCTGCTTATTTCCCAGTTGTATGTATTTTTTTTACACTTTAGTATCCAGCCCCACTTCATGGCCAGCTCATTGGTATATTTTTCTGTTATTGTTATTGAATACAATTTGGTTACCTATACATTTTCGCAGATTTTGTAAAAACAATATTTTTTAAAAACGAATTTCGGAGTATAAATCAAAACGTCAAACATTAGTTAGTTAAAAAGTGTGATTTTGATTATAACCAATAATTGTGGCTTAATCACATATAAACATACTATTTAAATGTAATCAGGGGCTTTAGATATCCCCTTTTTTCCATAATTTCAAATAGCATTTTCAATATATGTAAATCGAAAATTTGTTTTATAATAAAAATATCATTTTAAGTAGAGCTACCTTATCGAAAACCATGTTTTTCTTATATATACACTCACCGCCACCAAAAAGGGAGCACTTGCATTTTTAAAAGAAAAACTTAAAATTTTAATTCTCTTACACTTTTATTATTATAATAACGGAAACAAAAACGAAACAAACTATTTTAAGTAATTTCTAATAAAAATTAAGTGCTTATCCGAAAAAAACTGCATAACAAAATCAGAAATAAAGAATACACTATTCTTATCACTTTTAAAAGTGCAAAGGTAGCTGTTGGTATTCTATTGTTATTCTGTTGTTCTTGTTGATGTGAGTAAACTGTTCAGTCGAATCAAGTGTCAAACAAAATTTAAATTGGGTTGATTTAATCTCAAGAATTATGGTTGTATATCCCGAAACACTGGCTGCTATTGTTACGTTGCTTCAAGACAAAAGAAATGAGCGAAATGTTGCTCAAAAGTATCAAATATCCAATAGTACTGTGAACCGTATTTTTACATGTTTCTTGGCAACCAGAGCTTATAGTAGACGACCTGGAACTGGTGTCCAACGAAGAATTAGTGCCCGTAATGAACGCTTCATCCTCTTACAAAGTTTACGAGATCGTCGTGCTACGGCTGTACAAATCCGAAATCAGCTTTAGTACGTCCAGAATATTAACGTAAGTGAACGAACTATTAGACGAAGGCTTGAAGAATTATTTACTGATGAGTCCAGGTTTACCTTGCGGACTCCAGATGGCTGTAATAGAGTAATGCGAAGACCACAAAGCGTTTTGTAAAATGTAACTTCAGTCCTAGAGTAGGCTATCAAAGGGCCTCAATTATGGGGTGGGCTGGAATTTCTCTAGAGGCACGTACAGAATTGTACATTGTTGCAAGAGGCTCCTTAACAGCTGACAGGTGCATTGATGAAATTCTCCAAGATTTTGTTATTCTCCTTATGCTGGTTTTGTTGGAAATGACTTTGTTATCTACTGAAACAGTTCTTTGTTCAAAAGTTAAATTTTTATTAGAAATTACTTAAAGAATTTGTTTCGTTTGTATTTACGTTATGATAATAATAAAAGTTTAAAGAGAATTACAGTTTTTAAAGATTTTATTTTAAAATGCAATGCTCCATTTTCGTGCCGCTAAATGTATATAAACGCTTCTGTGATAAATTTTACTTCATTGTTAATGTTAATGTTATAGAACGATAGATTAATTTGTAGAAGAAATATCTCTTTACATGCATAACGCTTTTAAGGCCATTACTTATTTATTCTGAAGCTATTTTCTTGTGGCATTGTAAATTAATTACCATTAAACTGGGAATAAGCCACAATTAAAGATAAAAATACGTTTATTGACGTTTCAATTTCCACTTCGGAAATCGTTCTCAAAATACAAATAGTAAATTAAACAAATTTTGTTTTTTGTTACATAGTGAAAAATTCTTCTAATAATTTAATTTTATCTGACTCATTTATATTGACAATTCAGACATACATTATGCATTTTAAAATAGACGAATTTAAAATGATATTGCCAATATTGTTGAGTTGCGCTCCTGGAACGACTTTAGTTATAAGATAGTTCATTCGATTACATGAAATCAACTTTAACTTGAGAATATCCGTCAGAAAAAAATCATAGCATGTAATTCGTCTTTAAAAAGACAAACACATGACATGATGACAGTAAAATTCTCCTGTTAGTGATACCATAGTAAATTATGAGGGAAAAACCAGGAAAAAAACCTTATAATACTATCCCGACATTGTAAGTATTTGTTCGTGAATTTAGTTTACCTTCAACAAACATCAAAATTCTGATTTTATATGTTACGTTATTTAAAAAACATAAATGATGTATCCTCTATATGTTACTGACTTACTAATACTTTTATTTTCTTATTAATAACTTCCTCTTTCAATATTGGTACCCAGATCCTACTACATTCTGCCGAGGAATTTGCGACACAATTGGCCTCATTTAGCATAATTAGAGCCGCTTCTTTGATTTTTCTTTTTTTACCATCCGTTACTTTTAGGACTACATTTGAATTATTCCATTGAACCCTATGTTCATTATCCCATGCGTGTTTACAGATTTGAGATCTATCAAATTCTCTATTTTTAATATAAGATTGATGTTCACTTACTCTAACATTTAATTAATCATCAAAGCCATTAAATGTTAGAATAAGTGAACATCAATCTTACATTAAAAATAGAGAATTTGATAGATCTCAAATCTGTAAACACGCATGGGATAATGAACATAGGGTTCAATGGAATAATTCAAATGTAGTCCTAAAAGAAACGGATGGTAAAAAAAGAAAAATCAAAGAAGCGGCTCTAATTATGCTAAATGAGGCCAATTGTGTCGCAAATTCCTCGGCAGAATGTAGTAGGATCTGGGTACCAATATTGAAAGAGGAAGTTATTAATAAGAAAATAAAAGTATTAGTAAGTCAGTAACATATAGAGGATACATCATTTATGTTTTTTAAATAACGTAACATATAAAATCAGAATTTTGATGTTTGTTGAAGGTAAACTAAATTCACGAACAAATACTTACAATGTCGGGATAGTATTATGAGGTTTTTTTCCTGGTTTTTCCCTCATAATTTACTATGGAATCACTAACAGGAGAATTTTACTGTCATCATGTCATGTGTTTGTCTTTTTAAAGACGAATTACATGCTATGATTTTTTTCTGACGGATATTCTCAAGTTAAAGTTGATTTCATGTAATCGAATGAACTATCTTATAAGTAAAGTCGTCCCAGGAGCGCAACTCAACAATATTGGCAATATCATTTTAAAGTCGTCTATTTTAAAATGCATAATGTATGTCTGAATTGTCAATATAAATGAGTCAGATAAAATTAAATTATTAGAAGAATTTTTCACTATGTAACAAAAAACAAAATTTGTTTAATTTACTATTTGTATTTTGAGAACGATTTCCGAAGTGGAAATTGAAACGTCAATAAACGTATTTTTATATTTAATTGTGGCTTATTCCCAGTTTAATAGTAATTAATTACTTATTTAATTCTAAAATTTTTACCGCGATTGGATTCTAACCCGACTCTCTTCGCTCTGCAACAAAGAATCCTGTCCACGTAATGAAAGACACATAGGTTAAAGTGTTAACATAAAAAATAAACCAAGTCCCGAATTCAGTTTACTTAACTCGTTGTTTATTTTTAGCTGAAATTCAACTTTTTTCAAAATCTACTTTACAAACTTACAAAAAAGACGGTGAAGATTATTATAAATTTGATAAAATAAACCAAAAAATACAGATAGGTGGAGGTCGCATTGAAATAACAGCTACAGATAAAGAGCTTATGCCGATAGGTAAGTACAAAGTTCAAATAAGTAAATGACAATTGATAGGATACCGTTTTTTGTCTTTGACTCCTAATGAACAAGTTATCAGTGCAAGATCTACCAGCCGTAAATCCACTTTGGTCTTAGCTAATTAGATGTCCTACAGCATCTTGTATTTTTCCGTTTATTATCTTTTCAAACAATCTCCCGAAAGTATGTAGGACACTTAATCCTCTGTAGTAGTTAGGATCTTTTCAATTACCCTTTATAAAGATGAAAACTTGGTGAGCGGTTTTATATTTAGATGGTACTTTAATTTGTTAGCAGCATTGATTCACTAGAAAAGTTATTCGTTCTATTAGGAGTTAACCTCCTGCTTTAAGTTACTTACAGCTATATTGCCAGGTCCTGGAGATCGCCTGTTTTCCATTTTAATTAACACAGTACGGACCTCATTGTTAGTAGTATTAATGTTACTATTTGTTTGTCTCTCCATACTGTCTTCCTCTCCCATATATTCCAAACTGGACTCTTGGAGTAAATTTTTATAGTGATTTTTCCCACTTTTCTCTATACATATATATGATACAGTTCCAAGAATTAAATTGTGGCAAGCTTTACAACAACTCGGCATTAGTCAATACCTTATACAGGATACTACTTATCTAAAAATCGGAAAAGGACTATCAGAGCCAATAAAAGTAACTAAAGAACTAAGACAAGGATGCAGTATGTCATCCTTACTGTTTAATTTATATATTGAGGCTGCCCTCCAAAATTGGAAAAACCACAGCCAGGGAATGGAAATCTCCATAGGAAATGACCTACTTCTCCCTGAACTTTGTGCATTAACAAATCGTCCTAGCTCAAGATTCTTATGATCTAGAATTTATGATAAAACGTCTATACAGAGAATATGTAAAATGTGGGTTACAAGTCAGCATGAAGAAAACAGGATATTTAGTTACCAATTTAGATGCAAGGTTTGAAGTGTTGATAGACGAGGACGTGGAAATAAAACAAGTGTAAAAATTTAAATATTTAGGTGCACTTATTGATGAGAACGGCTTGGGAAAAACTGAAATTAAACACCGAATTAATCAGGGACGTAAAATTGTAGGATGTCTGAACTCCTTATGGTGGGATCGCAAAATTTCCAAAAGAAACAAAAAAAGAATAGGACAAACCATGGTTGAATCAGGTCTTTGTTATGGCTCTGAAGTATAGACAATTAATACAGACCTGAACAGAAGATTGTTGGCAGTTGAAATGGATTATTTGAGAAGTGCTAGAACATCAAGGCTGGAAAGGAAGACAAACAAATCTATAAGAAATAACATGTTACTGTTACATGTTAGAATGTTACAGAAACGGTCATTGACAGAATAAAAAGAAGAGATTTAAAATGGTTTGGATATCTATTGAGAATGCCTGACAAACGTTGGTCCCAAAAGCTCACATATGGAAGCCCCCTGAGAGAAGATAAAGAGGTAGACCTCGACTCTCATGGATTGAAGAAATTAGAAGAGCGATGGAATCGGAAGGTTTGGAGGAGCAGTATGCGTTGGACCGAGAGGGTTGGCGGAGGAGAACGGGAATACAGCAATAGCCGTCTCCAAAATGTATTGTATTTAAAAGTTGGATCCTGATGGTGGATTCCACTCAAAAATGAGTAAAATAGCTAACGTCTTACATGAACAACATGCATAACCCCTCAGGCACCTCTCTAACCCGAGATATAACACAAACAGTCATATGTAGGTCCTATAGTAAAGTACGTAATTATTGGAGCTCCTTCTGCATTGCCTGACTTAATAGTTGTGTTTTCATTTAGAATGCCAATCTTTTGGAATTAATTAAAATATAGCCGTCGAATCAATTGACTAAGTTAAATAAAACAAATATAACCAAATATACTCCATTCCATCATTTCATTCTTTTTGTTTCTATTTAGTGTCCATTCGTTTATACACTATTACGTTACATTTTCTTCTAATTTCTTCACTTCTCTTTCGATCTCTAAGCGTATTTTCTGTAATTCTTCTTAGTACTCTCATCTCTGCCGTTTTCAGTAGCCTTTGTGTTGTGGCTGTGTTGGGTTTTGTTTCTGAGGTATTGGCATGTCATTATTGGTCTTACACTGGCTTTATAAATTCTAGAATTACAGTCTTTACAATTTATTTTAAAAGTTACGTTTGATTGATGATCTTTATTAACTTTGCGTTTAAATTTTCAAAATATTTTCCAGATGAGATATCTTTAACTTATCTCATATTTACAGAATGGTATTGTGGGCTAGATAGATACTTGTATAGATAGATACCTGTATGAATGAATACTAATATTTATATGTAATTACGTGGCTAAAGGTTTCAAGCCAAAGCCCTTAAAAAAAAAAAAGTTCTATCCCGTCTGTCCCGATTTTTTATATCTACTTTTATGGATAAAATTAACAACCAAAGTAATAACAAATAAACTGAATGAAATTAAAACACTAGCAGAAGAAGAACAAGGTTTTAGGTCGGGAAGATCATGCACCGACGCTATATTAATAATGAGGCAAGTGCAAGAGAAATCATTATACAACAAACCGGCATATCTATGTTTTGTGGATCTTGAGAAGGTATTTGACCAGGTCAAATTAAAAGACGTTACACACTTACTGTACGCAAGAGAGATACCTCTAGGAATAATCAAAACGATCGAAAATATCTACCCAAACAACCTTATAAAAATAAAAGTAGAAGAAGAACTGTCCGACCCTAATGAAGCTGGCAATGGGATAAGACTGGGAGATTTTCAGAGTCCCCTATTGTTTAACCTGAATATGGATGAAATAATAAAAAAGTAAGAACTAAAAAAGGATACCAAATGGGAGAAAAACAACTTAAATTATTCTGCTATGCAGACGACGCAATACTACTCGCTGAAAGTAAAGATGATTTACAACGTAAGCTGTATCAATTTAATATAACCGCCAGAAATTTAACATGTTAATTTTTCCAAAAAAGACAAAATTTATGGTTACAACAGCAAATTTACTAAGATATAAATTGGAGCTGGAAGGTCAGATAATAAAACAAGTGATGGAGTTTAAATATGTAGACATCACATTATCTAGCAATAGAAAGCTTGAAACTGAAGTGGAAGATCAAGTGAATAGAGCAAACTGCTCTATGCCTGAATGAAACAATATGAGAAATAAAAATATCGGTAAAGGAACGAAAGGCAGAATTTACAAAACAGTCATTAGACCAATAATGGCATACGCGGCAGAAATAAGACCTGACACAGAGAGGACAAAAAGGATGTTAGAAACAGCAGAGATGAAAACACTTAGAAAAATTGATGGTAAGACACTACGGGACAGAGCTAGAATTACAGATATATGACGTAAATGCAAGGTGGAGAACATCAAGAACTGAGTAAGAAATAGAAGAGTAAAATGGAATGATCATATAAGCCGAATGACAACAAATAGAGTAGTAAACACGGTTCCCCAATAGGAAGACGATCAGTGGGAAGACCACGAAAAGAATGGAACGACAACTTACTGGAGGCACAATGAAAACAGACATCCATGTCTATATAAAAAGAAGAAGAAGAAAAAGAAGACTTTATGAATGGAAAAGGTTTTATTTCGTTAAAACTTACCTTGAGTTTGCTCTGAGGACGTCAAGAGGCAGAAAAATGCATATCAGTCAATAGTGGTACGATGTAACGAAACCAAACCTTACCGATCCATTTTATTTTTATTTTACATTTTACTCTATTATGAAAGATTAGGAGATTGTTTTTACAAAGGGATTTCTGCTTAGACGAATTGGTATGACGTGGATACAAATTATGAATCCTTATGCCCGTGCATTTCGGTGCATTCGTCGTCTGTTTGTTTTGCAAAGTTTAGAAAATACATATTTGGAACGAATCCTCAATCTGATTTCCGATTCATATGCTCGTTAGTAGATGTCGCTTTAGCGTCTGTCGGTAAATAAATATTTTAAATATTGACTTTTATGAATGGACAAGGTGTTATTTCATTAGAGCTTACCATCAGCACGATCTGAGAATGCCAGGAGACCGAAATATGCCAATCAGCGAATGGTGGTACGCTGCAACGAAATCAAACAACTGCTGTCTATTTTATTTTTAAATATTGTATACTTTTATGTCTGAAATGATACATAATGTCTAAAAATAGATACTATAAGGCTCGACAGATAGTTAGCAGTGACAAATGAAATCTATTCACTAGTTCCTATTCTACGGTCTTTGAACTTCTTTTAACTATGTGAATTATTATTATTAACTGCATTTTTTCTTTTAGTTCAAACTATAGCAGAATATTTTAATGAGCATCCCAGAGGATTTTTCAACTTAATATTGCCATTTACATTGGAATACGCACAAGATCTACTCAGAGAATTTGGAGATGAATATTTAGCCAATCTTCCTGCTTCTGAATGGTTACCGCAGTAGAATCAAATAATAATAATCAAATCAAATACTTATTTTTAAGCATTTCCGTAAAATTTACACGTTAATTTGCATTACTTTTAACTTTTTCGCTACAAAGAACAAAAAAACATTTTTTCTGTAATGAATAAATTATACAGAGTTTCGGACGAAAATAGGTTGATACATTTCGATTTTAAATCGATTTTAAAAAGTATTTTTGAACCGCCGATAAATATTTTTTTGCAAAAACAAGTTTAATTTTTGGGTTAGTAATAAAAGTGGATGTAAATAGATTTTAAAACTTTTATTTTATATAATTTACACAATTTACTACATTTATTTTTATAAAAATATCTCTTGACTTTTCCGATATACGTGTACTTATTTTATATGTAAGAATAATAAATAAATAAAAATAATTTGGTTTCATCTTTTTGTTGTTGGTGTTTGTGATCTGCTTTAAAAGAGTTCTTACCGTGAAGACCGAAGAAAACATATTGTAATAAGGTTATCGGCCAAGGAAGAAAACATTATAGCGAGTTACTAATATTCTCACTTCTAATGAGTTTTCACAGAATTACTTTTAACTAAAATAATGTTTAGGTCGTGATTACTACACAATTAATTAGCCATAGAAAACAATATACTAATATGCAAATTTTTAAAATTAATTTTTAGAATGTTGTGGTCACTGTAACATTAAAAAAGTAGCTCTTGAAATCGACCCAAAAATCCTTCTCAGAATCACCTGGATAAAAAATTAGCCCCAGTAAAAGTTCGCCAACTCAATATAGAAGGAATTAGTAGAGCTAAATATCTGCACCTTCAAAGAGGCGTATATGATAATATTGGCGTCGTTGTAATCCAAGACACATCTATGAACCATTTATAGCTAAGTGACCAATTCACATTATATATTCTATTCCGCATCCAGAATAGTACGTTGGTGACTCCAGTATCTACCACGAACAGTGGAAATTTAGCAAAAACAGCCAAAATTGGGAATATTTTCATATATGGTCTTATTCTCAAAAATTATATTTCCCTTTTGATGCCAAAGACAGCGGCACTTTTAGACCTGCATCATGGAAAGATAATTTTTATCTTGATCTATGATTTGTCGCGACACATGCCCCTATCTGCTTCCTCCAAGTGAAACGTAAGTTGTACACTACCCAATTTTTTTACATAAAATTAAACATATCACTGTACGGCACTCTACATTGTAAACCTTGTCGTATGCTTTGGTTGTATTCCACTAATACACAGAAATTACTAAGTATTTATTGAAATTGTAATGAGTAGAGCTACGAAATGTATATAGAGCGGATTCATTTGGAGTGAAAAAAGGGATGAACTTGATGAACAATGTGCTGTTTCATTACATAGACGTTTCTACACGCAAAATCAGGAAGAACATTATTGAAAGCGTCGATTTAAAAAAAAACTAGCAAAAAGGTTTGCCTTGGAGATAATATACTTGGATATTCGAGGCCATACCACCATAATAAAACGAAAAAAACTGACAAATGTTAAAGCCTTATGCTTCCCTAGTATTCAATACTATTAAGCATCCTAATGGATGCTTAATAGAATCATCAATGCATTTCTTGATTGTATTGATGATTCTGTTATATATTTCAGAATGAATTCCTCCTAGTCAGTAAATAATGACCTATATAGCAAGGCAATCTCTCTCCATAGAGAGAATAAAAAAAGTGTTAGAAACAGCAGAGATGAAACAGCAGGTATACGACGTAGATGCAAAGTGGAGAACATCAAGGACTAGTTAAAAAGTGGAAGAATAGAATAGAACGATCATATAAGCCGAATGACAACAAATAGTAAAGATGATGGGAGACGGTTCCCCAATAGAAAGATGATCAGTAGGAAAACCACAAAATAGATGGAATAATAACTTATTGTAAGCACACTAAAAAACAGAGCCATGTCTACATAAAAAGAAGAAGCAAAAGAAGAAAAGAAGCAAGGTACTAAAATAAACTTTTGTCTTCTTCACAGATTTGACTGGTGAATACAATAAGATAGGGAGACAAGGCCAGAAAAAATTAGTATGTTCGCATTTTAAGAAAAGTGTACTATGTAGTGGTCAAACTCTGCGCGGCATACAACTGCGCTAGAGCAACCCTAGCTGGCCAATGGTCATTTTTTACAGTACTTTGAATGTCGCGATGCATTCCTACACAGACGAGCCCTAGAACAAAATATTCCAAGAACAATTCATTTGAGGCTAGCCGAAATATGTGGCATGCATACAAGAAATCAAGCTATCCAGAATAGTGTGTATGGAAGATGTACGTTCTGCAGTAGTAAGAAAAACTGAAAAACTATGTTTCTTTGTAGACAGTGTGGCAAATGGATTGTGTGTGTGTGTGTGTGTGTGTGTGTGTGTGTGTTTGGATTATTTAACCGCACTATGTATTATGTGCAGCGAAGAAGAAAATTTCAGTTTATGCCAAACATTTGTTGAATAATTTTTTTTATACTTCAATCGTTGTCAGTATGTTTGTTGATATTTTGTATTCAAAAACTTGAAATGCTTTTGTATATTGCTTGTCAACATATATGTTTGTATCTAAGAAGCCAATTTTTTTAACATTTTTTTTGCGGATATAAATAAATATTGATCATTTGTTACTATATTATTATTTAAATACAGTTATAATAAATAGTTAGCCTCATTGAAATAAGATATTCATTATTAAAAAATTTAGTGTAGTAGAGTTACCAACTCTGTTACACGATTTCACGTTAAGGGCGGAAGGTTAAGATTATAAAGGATGGGCACATGTATGTCATGGTAAGACTATTTAATAAAATTTGTCAATCGTATGGCATATGCAATGAATGGTTTACCTCAACATTCATTTGTCTCTCAAAAAAGAAAACGTTGATTAATGCCGTGACACTCGCACCATAAGTCTGATGTGTCAGACATTTAAAATGTCATTATAGATCATTCATAGATGAATTTACCAAAAATTTTATATGAACATTGAAGAAACCTTCGAACCACAATGACCTTCGAAATATAACGAATCTATATTATAAGTAGCGGGCACATACATGCATTAAAAGGAGGGGTACGACAGGGATATGTATTGTCGCCCCTACTATTTATTTATTTATTTATCGTATGGCAATTATAACACATTTAGAACAAAATTACAAACACTAGTAATATAGGTATATGACAAACTTTAAATAGGCATAAACAAACACCAAGTGTATTAATATAATCAATTGACTCTAAAGTTGTAAACAGGTCTTTAGGGCTACCATTGTATGATTTTGAGGGACACTCTTCAATAATGTGGTCGATGGTTTGGTTCTCCCCACAGTCACATTGAAGAGGCGGATTCTTTTCCCATTTATGTAGCATGTATGCACATCTACCATGTCTGGTTCGGATCCTATTTAAAGTGGACCATGTTTTACGTGGAAGATCAAAACCTGGTGGCTTTTGGGTAATGCAGGGCATGTTATTTTGCCATGCGTTCCATTCTTGGGACCATGCATTCGTGATGTTGAACTCCTCATGTATCATTTTTGCCGTTTTCATTGGTGGTTTTCTAGAACGTAGACGGGTATTTCGTACATCCTCGGTATCTTGGAGTACCGGCAGGTTTATAGGGTTCATGATTTTTTTAAATTCACGTGTAACTGCGTCAACTTGTCGTAAATGTAGACTGTGACTTAATACTGGAAGCCATTGGGTGGGAGTTGATTTAATTGTACCAGCTATCATCCTCATAGTGCTGTGCAGCTAAGTGTCGACCTTTTTTACGTATGGACTGTATAGCCAAACTGGAGAACAATATTTAGCGGTCAAGAAAACAAGGGCTAAGGCAGTAGAGCTAAGAGTGGAAGCCGATGCTCCCCAGGTGGTACAGCAGAGCTTCTGTATAATGTTATTTCTTGTACTCAACTTTTGGACAGTTTTTGTTAAATGCTCTTTAAATGATAGCGTTCTGTCTAGTGTTACGCCCAGGTACTTCGGTGTTTTGTTGTGGAAAAATGGAAAAATGCGGTAAATTATTGTTAAAAAACGCAAGGTAAAAATTTTTTACCTTGCGTTTTTTAACAATAATTTATGGGTATAATTTGATTTATTTTCTATAAGTTTTTTCTTTTATATTTTACATACACAATATTTATATCATTTTTGTATATCAAGAATACCTTTATTTTCCAGTTTTTTAAATTAAAATTGTTTTATTAAAAAAATAAAATGTTATTAATACATTTGAACATAATTAAATTTGTGCAAAATTTTCCCCAGATCGGTCAAATAAAGATGCCGTCAACAATTCATTATCTTTTAAAAAATCTTCTGTAAAATAAGTGTCCACTAATCTCACTATACCTTTTTTGTGTGTAAAAAACGTCGGTATATATATGCCACACGATTATTGTTAATTATACACAGGTGATTAACGACAGAATTCAATGTTTCACAAAATAAATTAATGTAAACAGTAATTTAAAGGTGAATATTGTTTTCATTACAAGTTATCGCCTCACACAAAAAGAATAATACCTTCTTTGAACGATTACCTGAAATTACTGATAAGGCTTTACTAATGATAGTTCAAGTAGTTTTTATGCCACATTACAGCTTATGCCAATAATATAAATTAGAAATTGTTTGCATCTTCCATTTAGTTTGTAGATGTACATTGTTCATGTCTTACCTACCTACGTTTTTGGTGTCGGTATTTTTTTATTTTCATTTAAAAATGACGTCGACAACAGGTTTTATCCCAGTTAAGTGTAGTTTTAAAGGTTCCTTCAGTCTAAGAGAGAAAAATATAATATTAAATGTACACGATGCACTTGTACATTAACGCCCTTTAAGTAATGTTCGTGAAACTGTTAACATGTGTTCAAATATGACAGAGGTTGGAGAAGCAACAATTTAGAGATTCCTAAAAGGAAGAAAAGGAGGAACTGCTTCATCTCCCAAGAAGAGTGGAGGGAGTAAACCCTTTTAAATTGAAGAAATACATAAAAAGATGATAAAACGCAGCGTTCACTCATTTTTTTTTTAACAAAGAATTTTCAACATTGGACAAAATCCAAACATTAATTAGAGAAAACGAAGAGTTACCAATCATAAGCAACAAGAAATTATGGAGACTATTGAGAGAGATGGGATTTCGTTGGCAAAAGAATAGAAGAAAATCCGTTTAAAGTGAAAAAGATTACATCGTATGTTGGAGACAGACTATCTAAGAACTATTAAAAAGTACCGAGATGAAGGGAAAACAATTTTTTATTTGGACGAGACTTGGCTTGGTCATACAGTACCATATCTATGGGTTGATACAAATGTGAAAAGTTACCGTCAGGCATTCATCGAAGGTGTATCTACTGGAATAAACAATATTCCCGTTGGAAAAGGACGCAGACTCATAATAACCCATATTGGAAACAATACGATTTTGTCAATGGTGGATTATTCAGTTTTGCCTCAAAATCAACCAAAGATTACCCCGAGGAAATGACTGCTGACGTTTTTGAAGAATATTTTCAGCAAATGTTGGATTTAATTCCAAAAAATTCTGTCATAGTCATGGATAATGCTAGTTACCATTCAAGACTAGCAGAAAAATTGCCAACAACGGCATGGAAAAAAGGAGAGATAATCGAATGGTTGGATAAACACGCAATTGAGTACAAGGAGAATCCAACAAACAAGGAATTATTACCTATTGTAAGGCAACATAAAACAGCTTATAAAAAATATATAATTGATTAAATGGCATTAAACCGTGATGTAATTATTTTACGTTTACCCCCATACCATTGTGATCTGAATCCCATAGAAAATATATGGTCTCAAGTAAAGGGTGAAGTCGAACGCAACAACAAAACTTTTAAATTAGAAGACTTACAACAATTATTAGATCATTCCTTATCAAAAGTAACTCCAGAAAATTGGAAAAATGCTGTTAGTCATGCTCACAAGGAAGAAAATAAAATGTGGAATTTGGATAATATGACTGATGCAATGCTGGAACCGATAATCATTAACATTGGAGTTGAAGATTCCTTAGATTAAAGAAAGAAGTGAATCTGAAACGGAATTTGATTAAAATAATATTCATTTTTTTACAAATCGGCCCCTGTTACGGCCACAAATTATTTTATATATATAACAATAAAATAAACATCTTACATTTCTTGCAAATTCATTAGTACCTGTTAATCTCCATCACTCCGACACTGGCAACTTTATTTAGGGATTAGTAACCCTCAAAACTATTGTATTCTATTCTGCTTCAATATTTATACCTGGTGGTCATACTCAATTTAAAATTGTTTTCCTATATACTTCTGTAAACTTATTGACAAATATCTATTTTTCATTGAGTCACCATTAGCAAAAGTTTAGGGATTTGCATACATAATGTGCTATCAATATGATGGGAATAAACTATAGACACATTTAGCAAATTTCATAGAATTCTTTAAGAAAAACTATCTCAGAAGTTAAATGCATATTGCGTCTTCATCGAAATTATTTACAAAATTAACGTTTGAAAAAGGGGTATGTTTTTTTACTTATAAACAATTGTAAAACTTCTATATTTTTCAAACTACATACTTGTACGTACAACCATTGGGTAGCTGGTAAAAAAACTCACATTTAAAAAAACTTTCTGTGACCGATATTAAGTTGGGGAATATTTTTAAAATAATCATATCTCCATTGTTATAAACATTAAGAAGTAAAATTTGCACAAATTTTGAATGAAAATCTTAACTTTATATTGAAACTTATAGCTATAAAAATCATCTAATTTTTTAAAACTTCCAGCCATTCGAAACGAAGATACTTTCGAAAGCTCGACATAGGAAAGCGGGGGGGTAACTCAAATTCTCAAATTGAAACACGTAGGAAAAATTTATATTATCTCAGGTTCCATTGCAGCTAAAAGCTTCTTTTTTAATCTGGGGTAGCTCATCGAAATATGAATAACTACATAGTTTTCACTGGGAGGGAAATATGGGAAACCTCGAAAAAATTGAGTTCATTTGAAATTCACTGTAAAAACTTACTGTTTTTCTATAATTTTCATTGAAAATCCCGGAAAATCAACATATATTTTTTTCATTTTATATCAATGATGTAATAATACTTATATGTTTATATATGTGTATATGTATATGTACAGTACGAGGACGGTAAACACATTTATTTATGTTTGTAGATCTAAATATTTATCACCAAAGATCACAGAGTATACCATCCTCGTGTCCCTACATTTTATATGTATTCATGTTAATAGGAGAAAGGTCATCTATAATTATATATAATAAAAAAACCGGTCATATATCTTAGTATGCGTAAAAAAATGCGGACTGAGTAGCAGCTGCCACACTCCAAAATTTCGTCAAATTAGTCCCTAACTTCGTTCCTATTATTCATAAGTTATTATTTTAAATCTAAGTTTTTTTACCAGCTATCCAATGGCTGTACGTACGAGTTTGTAGCTTGAAAAATATAGAAGTTATTACAATATTGTTTATAAATAAAAAACATACCCCTTTTTCAAACGTTTATTTTGTAAATAATTTCGCTGAAAACGCAATATACATTTAACTTCTGAGATAGCTTAAGTCTTAAAGAATCGTATGAAATTTGCTAAATGTGTCATTTTCAGTATCATTTTTAGAGCAAGTTCAATAGTTTTAATATTTAGCCGCAGGGATAAATAAATTAAATAAATAAATTAAACTTTTAAACTATTTGACCGACCGGGGGGAAATTTCGCACAAATTTAAAAGACGGTAATTCCTCGATGTTCAAAGGTATTAATCACATTTTATTTAGTTAATAAAAAAATTTTTTAAAATTATAAATTAGTGCAAAAAACTGCTTTTTTGCAAATATCTCCGTAAATTATTTATCAATTTTAATTTAAAAAACGGAAAAATAAAGATATTCTTGATATAAAAAAAATAACGCAATGTAAAAATACAAGTACTTTTTCATGTATTCGTCATCTAGTAACCCCCACCTATGACTTAAAAGATTCAGATATCTGCGAAAAAATTTTCGAACTTTTTTTAACCAGATTGGGTTATTTCTTGAATGATATAGTTACCACCAGTATTAACAAATTAATTCAATAAAATTGTATGTTCTGTTAATTTTTAATACTACCATTACCTAAACCGATTTTTCTGGGACAAACTTTAGTAGACTTTGCCTCGCCATGTAAGAATTAATTATCCAAATTTACCTGGTTTCTTAACTACATCCATTATATAACGAGCTATAAAGTGGTGGTGGAGAGGTGAAAACGCAAAATCGGAATATATACTATAAATATCAACAAACCATTTTAAATGGTAATGAAAAGAGTTTAAAGAGTGGTTTGCCATGAAATCGTTACTGCTAGTGATTTGTTGTTGTACCTTTTACAATTTGGCGCAAGGGAGAAACTTAAAACAATTACGTAAGTAAATCTTATTCTTATTAAATAGATTAATACTGCATCAAAATTTATCCGCCAACAATACGATAGTATTTATCGTAACAAAACAAAACCGGTAAAAGTTAATTAATGAGTAATAATGATCTTTTGCTACTAATAATTTTATAGTGTCTTTGTTTTTAAAAATTGTTGACTTTTTCTTACATTGTTGCCGAATTTAACAACTAACCATATTCATAAATTCATAACGTTACGAATAAGATTATATATATATATATATATATATATATATATATATATATATATATATATATATATATATATATAGGTATATATATATATATATATATATATATATATATATATATATATATATTCGTATGAACTTTACACATTACAGTTTTAAATAAAGAAAAGGAAGAAAAAAGTGACACTAACAATAATAAATAAGTAAGTAAATAAGTAAACACTGACACAGAACATATAAAATTAAAATTTTTAAAATTAAAGTCGAAGGTTACATCCTCGAAGCCAATTTGTCGCATTGGGAGTAAGTTGGTGGATTTCTTGAAGGCTGCCAAAGAACTTGGTGGCTGGACACTCGAAAACGATGTGGTTAATTGTTTGTTCAGCGGCGCTGCATTTGTCACATTCCGGGCTGGCATTTATACCCATTGATTCAGCGATTTGTTACAAATTCCATGACCAACTCGTATTCTATTTAGGTTGCACCATTCACGACGGGGAAGAGAAAAGCCGTCTGGTTTGATTGTGGGGTTTTCTATCAGATTGGAATTTCTGATGTCTGGATTCCATTCGCCCATCCAGTGCTCTTCGGTAGTGAAAACAGCCAATTTTGTAGCAGTTCTAGTAGGTGGATGTCTGGATTTCAGTCTTAACTGCCTTTGGTGTAGTTCAGCGATGTCTGTGTTTATCGGTAGTTCTGGGTTTTGTTGGCATTTTTGAACTAGAGTGTTGAGTGCGGCTAGTCGTCTTGTTGCTGGTGGAGCGATGTTGCTTAAAACTGGAATCCACTGGGTTGGTGTGGGCTTTATAGTTCCCGTTATGTGCCTCATTGTTTAATTTAACTGGGTATCTATGACTTTTGTGTGATGACTGTTTAGCCAGACAGGAGCGCAATATTCTGCAGTAGGATATACTAAGGACAGCGCGTTCGTTCTTATTACCTCTGCATTCGACCCCCATGACGTATTTGCTAACTTATGGATAATATTATTGCGGGTCTTAATTTTTACTGAAGTGTTTTCCAAATGCTTTTTGAATATTAGGGTACGATCTAGAGTTACGCCGAGGTATTTTGGGTTAGCACTGTGCTTTAGCCTGGTTCCATTGCATTCTATGTTTAGTCTGTAATTTGCCTTGTTGTTGCTTAGGTGGAAAGCTGTTACTTCAGTTTTCGTTGGGTTTGGTTGTAGGCCCCATTTTTTAAAGTATCTGTTAATAGTCTTTAGATTTGCTTTTATGGTGGATTCGGCGATGTTTATGTCTTCTTCTTGGGCACCCAAAGCCATGTCATCGGCATAAATAAATTTGCGCGAGGTGGTAGTTGGTACATCTGACGTATAAATATTAAAAAGTAGAGGAGACATAACTGACCCTTGTGGCAAGCCGTTTTACAGGTTTCTGAAGTTACTATTTTTCCCATTTAGGTGTACTTGGAAAAGTCTGTCACTTAGCATTTGGTTTAACAACCTGTTGAACGCACGGCACGGTAACATCTGGTATATTTTATATAAAAGGCCCTCCTTCCACACTGTGTCGTAGGCGCAGGTCAAGTCTATGAATGCTGCTACTGTTTTCAGTTTTTTTTGGAATCCGTTCTCAATAAATGTTGTTAAGGAGAGGACTTGGTCGCCACAGCTTCTTCCCGGCATGAATCCAGCTTATTCTTTAGGAATATTTGACTTTGTAAAGTAAAACAGTCCCGTTTGGATTATCCTCTCGAAAATCTTGTAGCAGACGCTTAAAAGAGCGATTGGTCTGTAGCTCTCAGGTAATGCAGGGTCTTTCCCAGGTTTAGCTATTGCGATGATCTTACTTTTTTTGAAGGATTTTGGAAACTTCTGCTTAGTTAGTATTTGATTGTAGAATTCAAGAAACCACTTTCTGGCATTCGGACCAATGTGTTTTATAAATTCAGGATAAATGTTGTCAACACCTGCGGCTTTACGACATTTCATTAATTTTAGAGCTTCTTCAAGTTCTTCTGGTTCGATGAGCTTCATTATCGGTAGGCTTTGTTTATATATATATATATATATATATATATATATATATATATATATATATATATATATATATATATAGCAAACTAGTAAGATTATCGACCGAAACGTAAATAACAATGTATTGTATTGGAATATCGGGTATACGGTCTGTTATTATTTAAAAAAAAGAACTCTTTTTTCTTTTAATCCTCTATATTTCGCTGATTTTTTGTCAGCTTCATCAGGAGACAACTAAAATATGATTAAAAGTTATATAAAAATCAGTTTAGAATAAACAATGACTGACTTACAGATTTAGAGTGGGAAGTATTTAAACAAGTTGTTGAACATAATTTGTTCAAAACAGTACTGACAGTATTGGTTAAAAGCACCTAGGTCACTAGTAATTAAATATAAAAACAGAGCAAACAAAAACAACCAAGAAACAATTAAAACACAATAAAATTACACATTAAAAATATACAGGGTGATTTAAAATATAATTGTTTACAGAAAAATTATTTGGACATACTAAGAATATTACAGTAGATATTGCTCAACTGTCCCGTGTCTGCCTTGTAATTTACAGCATAGTTTTCTCTATTTATATGACACATTTCCAAAAACAATCTTTTTTTGTAATAATATATGTCAGGGTTCTACAGCAAGAAAATAATAATATTATTAATAATACAACATGAAAATTAATAATAAAAATTTACATTAATATACTAAAAGATCACGATACTGCAAATGTATATAGACAGCAAATAGAAGATCAAATAAGGACACTAAACGTAGAAGACATTAACCAACTATGAGCAAATATACGAGATATTATGATACAGAAATCGGTTGAAATATTAGGCAAAACCAAGTCCGAAAAAAGAAATCATTGGTTGGATCATGAGTGCGAAATGGCCATTAATAAAAAGAACGCAGCAAATCAAAAAACCATCTACGCAGGTTTTACACGGAGAAAAAAAGAAGAATATAGACGTCTTAGAAAATAAAAAAAACGTATCCATCGAAAGAAAAGGGAATACGAACAGAACACTCACAATGAGATACAAAGTTTATTCGATAAAAATGAAATGAGGAAATACTACAAATCCTTAAGTAGTAGCCGTCGAGAATTTAAACCACGATTAAAAATTTATAAAAACGCTAACGATGAAATTCTACATAATAAAAACTCAGTTCTTAACAGATGGGCACAATATTTCAGTAAACATTTAAATATAAACGATATTGAAGGAGGTTACAACATAAATAATCAACAAAATCTATAACGTCAACTACAGAGTGAAGACCCAACAGGAGAAGGTGATAAACTTTTTACAGCGATCCATAAACCAATAGTACTTATATGGCAGATTGATGATCTTTTAGCAAAAGCTGCTATCGCTTTGTTGAATTAAATGGCCAATTATATGGCCTAGGAAGACAAATCCCTTAAACTTTCTGTGCACGAATCGGTATCAATAGAGTGTTATGACTTATTTCAGCATATCTCTGCCTCATCGGACACTCGGGCTGATACAAATTCAAACTCGGAAAATCCAAAGAATGTCTTCAAAAACTCGACCACTGCAGTGGTTAGCGTACAGAGGTGCCACCTGCTTTGGCGGCGATTTAATAATATCGTTTTCTGTCCTCTGGGCTATACGAAATGTGTAAAAGATTGAATCTTTCAGCTAAAGTTGCCATAGTTTTGTTGAATTCAATGGTAAAATATATGGCATAGGAAGTCAAATTCGTTAAACTTACCGTACTCGAATCTGTATCAATAGAGTGTTATGTTTTATTTCAGCATATCCCTACCTCATCAGATACTAGGGATGATACAAATTCAAATCGCCAAGCATGGTTATAATCGCCTATAAACGGGATATTTTAATAACCGATTGTTGATGGCTAGTAAAAATAAGTTCTAATTGAAATTGAATTGAAATAATAATTGAAACTGGAAATTTTGTTTTCAAATTATTCTACTAATAAGTTATTAAGTTTTGTAATAATACAGCAGTGTAACTATTAATATTTTTTTAAAAACGAAATTACATTATCTGTGCATGCATACACTAATAAGTATGAAATATATGTAATTTGTAGATATGTACATATTTTCTAATTAAAATACATACAACGGAATTGCTTATTTTTTCTTTGTAGACATATTTACCATGTAAAAAGTTATGACGACTCAAAGTTAGACTAAATCTTCTCGGCTTAAAATTGTTAATAACTTTTAAACTATAAACTTATATGAAAAAATTGGTATCGCTTTTTGAACATGCATGCTGCATGCAAAAAATTGTAGATAAGATAGAACAGTTTTCAACTATCCACCTTCCATATATACAGAAAGATGCCAAGCTGTTGGACTATTTATTGAAGGGCACTGCGTTAGAGCCTGAGGTATAATAATAATTTTTTGTTTCATATAATAGCATAATTTATGAAATAATATGATAAATAGACTGTTAACGATAACAACGTATTTTGTAATATATAAAATTATATTTCAAAAGTGTAATTAATGCTAACGCAAAACATTTTTTATACTTAAAAATACATTTCTAATTATCGAAATAATTGCTTCTATCACAAATTTTACTGGTAATTAAATAAAAAGAACTTTAAAAAACATTCAAAATAAATCATACTTACCGTTATATCATTAATAGTTGTCTACAGAGTGATTCCTAATGAACCGGTTTTACAAGTATTCGCCAAATTAAAAAAATACTTTTAAAAGTAAACATTGCATTTATTTTTTAATAGGTATAC